CTGTGGACCAGATGGCTGACCAGACCAAATAAGCTACATAGTGAAACTTAAAAGACCATTCATCTGACAACTATCACATTTTGGGGGTTAAACTGTGGCCTCTCTTTTTGAAGTCATGTGTTTTTAGTTATTTGTGCTGACAGAGTAATTCAGCATAAATCCATCTCAAAATATCTGTATTCTGACAGAATTCTGACTTGCCTTCAAGCCGAGTTTTACACTAAGAACACTTCAGAATGCTGTGATGCCTGGTGAACCCATTGTGCATTGTGACATATAAAACAAACATTCAAACGCAGCCCGTAACCTCTTTGACCTTTTCATTTCTCATCCACTATCTGCAGCCTTGTAGCGTGCCACAGTTTGCTCTCAGTGGTGCGCTTGTTTTGCTGCTGCTCACACGTCACATGTCGCAAGAGGAGGGTGGTGCTTGTGAAGGGGAAAAAAGAGAAGAGGCAGGCCACACTATTTTTAGCCTCTGCAGTCCTGAGCTGCCTTTCAGCTGGTCTCCTGGCGGCTGCTGCATTGTCTGAGCTGCCTCCTCTGGCTCTCCAATAACAAAAACAACCAGCCTCTGTGATATTACTCCCTGCTATGTAATTTAATAATCATATTTCTGTCAAAGTTGTAGAATATCAACAAGGACCTGTGGTTTTAAAGATGTCTATCAAGTTTAAGAATGCAAATGGCCATGGAACTTAGAAAGCCAGCTGGATAGGCTCCATTTTACATAATGTAATTCAGAGCAACCTTTTTTTCCACAGTAAACGTCTCTATCTCTCTTCTAATTATGCGAGCAACTCCATCATATGATTTACTCCTGTGGTCGGGAGTGAGTCATCGTTCTCACAAGTCTTCTGTGTTCAATCTGGTGCAACACATAATGAATCGTAGCTTTTGTTTTTCCCATAATGCACTTCTTTCTTAAACAAAGCTGCTCTATTGTTCTTGCCATTGAGTTTAACAGATGCAAGGTAAAACTAAAAGCCAACTGATCTTATGGGGCTATTGAAATGAAGGAAATCCACACAACGATTAAACAACTGCAGGAACTTAAGAGACTTAAGATACTGAATTGAACTCAGGTTAAACAAGGATAGTCGAGATTCATTCAGGACAAAACAAGAGCTGCCATTAAGATGACTCCATAAAGACACTACTGCACTAGAACAAAAAACTTTTCTTAATAGGCCTATCTAGCTTACAGTAGGTATCTATATGATACTTATTGCTGCTATATAAAATAACAAAACAAAGACTCACTGACTAGATTAAATTCAATAGCTTGTTATTTCTTCTAAGAAATACTGTAGTCTGTTCTTTCTTTCTATAGCTGGTGCTCTCCCACTAGGCACCAAAACCTCTAATCAAAAGAAGAAAACCTTTTTTAGTATTTTCCGGTACTAGTACTTTCAACAGTACCCAGCCTTAAAGTTAAATATGTTGTAAGACACTGAGTAAACAACGGCAATGTACACACGTATTAGAAAGTGGGCCTACTAGATTCAAAGTTTCAGCAAATGCAGTCAGGGTTATATGAGGACTGAACTGAAGTCAGGATACTTTTGAGATAAGATGGAAACAGGGCACTCTCACTGCAGCCCTTTGCATTTCTTGCTTGCCCTGCACATTACCGCACTGCCTCGACCTGCTTTTCCGATACAGATATGAGGTCACAGGAGGGTATGAAAAAGCTTTGCCTCTCTCTCTCCACATGGGCCCGTGGGCACTTCTGGACGAGTAAACAAACACGAAGGAGGCACTTTGCTCCCCTCCGGGACCAACAATCCTCCCTTTAAAACCGAAACAAGAGCCACGAAAGCGGCTTTTTAGGGCAAACACTGCGCCCTGGAGATGCACTGTTCACTTCTATCGATCCAAATCATCTGACAACCGCGCCATTCTTAAGCTTGTTTGTGAAGTGAGCCAAAACACATTTCTTCTTGCGCTTTTATTACAGAAGCGCGGCTTTTGTTGTTGTGCGCCACAAATGATGGAGCGTTTGTTGTCTGTGTGCTGCAGCTGGAGGTAAATTAAAGCAATTAATCAACCACCGCAGCGTCATAACACGGCTATTGGCTGCCGTCTGGATTGCGTGCCAGTCCCTGAGCTCGTCTATAAAGTGTCGCACGACGCACGTACACCGTGGCCTCTTGCGTACGTGTGCGTAATGACTGATCACTGTGAGCCAGTGGAGAGTTGCCCGTGAACGTGAGGACAAAACAATGAAAGCGCGAGAGAACAGTTGGGAGAGGGAAGGGGGCATTAGAGGAAGGTGTTGTGAGGACATTTGTTTCTTTTCTTATCATAGCAGTGCAGTCAGGCAATTGAAACCTGTGTTATGGATTACCAATCTCAGTAAGTTATATCAAAAATCAATATGCTTAAAGACTTCAACACAATTATAGCGACACTTGATGTGCTGGACACCACGAATATGTTTCCCAATTTAAAAGTTACTGCAGTCACAATAGAGAAGCACATTCAGTTCATTCAGGGTGTTCCCAGGAGTCACCTCCCACTGGAACATGTCCTGACACATCTCCAGACGGGCAAACATGGGCTGCTCAAAACAGATGCTGAGACCTATGTGATGTAGCACCAGAGTAGCAGCTCTACTCCAAGCTCTTTCTGACTTTCAGATCAGCTCAAACAACGAATTAATAAATGACATTGTTGCACCAAGTTTTTTAAATAGAAAGATCTCCACAAACAGTTGACCAAATACTGTATGGCTTGTCTTTAAAAATCTTTATTATAGGCTGATAGATGACCCTAAACTCATGTGGAGTGAATAATTTACCACAGATCACTTCTGGAGTTTGTCATAGTTCAGCCGAAACGTGTATGGGTCGTGTCCTTAAGAGCCCTCAGCCACTACCTCAGTGAGAACACAATAGTCTTTCTCTTTCACACAGCACCACTGGATTCTAAATCAGAAATCTGTGACAGTCTGTTTGCATAGAGGAGTGATGCTGCATTGTTATCATCACACATCCCGTAGTGGTTATATAAGTGCTGACACAGTCTTGCTTGACCTAGATTTTGAAATCTGTGTATTCAAAATTGTCCTTAAAAATCCTACTCCTGTCCGTATTTAACCCGGCCCACCGTACAGCTGACAACATCTCTAAAATGTAGGTCATGTAAGGTGACACATTACATTTTGGTGTTGGCATGCTTTGTTTGTCCGTCCCTCCCTGTATCCTAGTTTTACACATCACCACTGCTCATGTATAGTAATCCAGACAAGCAGGAGCATGCCCCACTTTTTAACATTTGCCATCGATGGTGACATGTAGGGAGGCAGCAGTCAGGTCAGCTGCGGAGAGGAGACAGGAGAGGGAGGGCTGGGCATAGCAGACCCAGACAGTGCACGACACCAACTCCTCCACTGGTTTAGATTTTGCACAGAGAAAGAGAGAGAGAGAAAGAGAGAAGCAGAAAGAGTGTTGCTAGGAGACGTGGCCCAATGCAAACACGCCACCATCTGCTGCAGAGAGATTTGGACTGGGTTAGCCAAGTCGGACAGCCAGAGACCCTACAGGACCATTCAAAACAGACATCCAGTAGGGTGTGATGTAATTTGATGCTTCAGTTTACTTAAAATTACGTTTTCATTATGTATTGATCACGTGAAAGCACTGTCCCAGAACTACTTTTTTGTTGAATTACCTAAAAGTAGACTGAAAGTTAGGCCTACATATGCTAGAATCATTAACACCTCAGTTTAAGGCGTCATGGGAGTAGCAGCAGAAGAAGTATGGAGGTACAAAAAGAAGCTTAAAGTACTTCTAACTGTATAGTGCTGCTTAGAAGTAGTAGTACTCATAATAGGAAGGGTGATACTAAGCCTTTATATGGTCATAGGTATTAACATAAAGTAGTACCTGTAGTAGTAACTATTGGTAGTAGTGATGATAGTGGTAGTAGTAGCAGAAGCGCTGGTGATATTAGGTTTTAGTTTGTAAAAAAAGAAAAAAGAAAAAAAAAGAAAAGGATATGTACATAAAGTTATAGAATAGCTGTGGGTCAACAAATACAAATGGTCAACAAATTTTATTATAATCTGGAAAAGTATTTTAACAACTAGCACCTGCTGCAAGTTGAATTGAAAACTAAACTTATGACCAGCATGTGCCCACTGTTATTTATAGGTGGTGAGGTGGGCAGAATTTGAGAATAGCCACCACATTGATAAAAATAACCAGACTATATCAGGCGTTACAGCATTAGTAAACTCCTACGGTGTGATATTAACAAATATTCATCATCATTTGGACCTATAAACATCCAGTGCTTTTAACACAAGACCAGGCATCTTCATTCAGAATCACGAGTGGCAACAACAGTGAATCATTTGTACCAAGTATGATGTTTTGATGTGACCAACACGAACCACCAGCAGGGCCGTCAAGCATCTTTGCAATTGCGTTTGATTGTCCCCATGGTAACAGGCGTTCATTTGCTACTATTAGGATGAAAAAAATGGATCTGGAAACACTGCTCACAAGATGTTTCACTACTGTGTAATGAAAATAAGAGCTTTGAGGGGGCGGTAGGCAGGTGGGCCGTGTTAGCAGTCACAGCAGCTAGTCATACCACTCTTTTTCTCTCTAACCCACCTCTATCACTTACACAACGTGGCTTGTTTATCTGATTCTATTTTGGAGTGTTAGAGGTATTAAAAATCATAATATGGGTGAGTAAATATATAAACATAAATAAAGTCTTATTTTTGTATTTATGGTTTAAGCAAAATGGTGCTTTGAATGAGGAAAGCTTTTTGTAGTGACTCTATCTGAACTTTATGCATAATTTATACTGTACCTACCAAAATAAATGTTCTTCCCACACTATTCTGATTTATTTATGTAGACCTGACAAATGGAGGCGCCTGACCAGGCTAAATATGACCCACAAGGACCAGATCGCCAAGTGTTTTCAACTACACAGCTGCCATAAATGCAAAAGAGGAAAATAGTATGAAAAGTAATACATTTCAGTATGGATACCAAGATGCCTTTTATTAGATGAAGATCCAATGATACATAGTCAACATCAGCATCCTCCCTTACAAAAGACATTAAAATTGTAACATTTCAGTAAAAAAGTAGTTATTGTACAGCCGATGTGGGATACCGGAGAGAAAGCATGACATGACCGAAATCATATTCATTCAAGATCATATAGATCATAATAAAACACAGTACAATAACACTATTTACAATCTGTAACACAGAGGTCGACAAGAGAACAGTAATCCTCATGGTGAATACAGTAAATTGAATATATATTCATATATTAAGATCTGTTGTTTACAAAATCATAATGCATTATATATATACTCACAAAGAAAGGCTATCCACAACCTTGGCTTTCAGCTATACACACACCCCTTGTTTTGCAACACTTTGCCCAAGCAAAAAGAGAGCTTTTGTTTGGTCAATTTATTGTTGTTCGGGTGAGTTCTTTGGTTGTGCTGGAGCAGTTAGATAGAGAATGCAAGTCTCCGTGGTAAGCTCAGAACCGGACTCAATAAATACAGGGCAACGTCTCGAGAGCAATGTTCACAACATCAGGAAACACAAAGAAAGCAGGAGTATTCAGACTTTAACGCTGTGGTCCTGCTGCAAGGGGAACCCACTGCTCCAACCTCACCGTCTGTGTCCCATTTACATTTAGAGTGTGGTCACTATAGAACAGCACACCAAAACAAATGTAACTGTGATCAAGAAAGTACAGTCCAGAGCACTATTAGCATGCATGTTGTACACCAGAAATAATGATGTGACTGCATTTCACCACTGCATGTTACATATCCCCTCAGTAAATCTGCCAAGTGGCTAGCATCAATAAAAAAATAAACCAAAGTACATTGCTCTTAATCTTGCCCAGTAGGTTTTGTGGATGTGGTAGTTACAGCCGGTTAGAACAGCCATCCCAGACTGAAAGAGCCCCTATCTTTTCTGTTTGAAATTATAAATGCAATCTCCTCCAGAATGACTTAAGCTAGTCAAGCATTTTCTGTCCAGTACGTTTACATGCACGAGCTTAGTGACACTGTGCCCGCTTACCGGATTTCTCATTTCGTACAGGAACATATCAAACTACTGTGTGCCTCCGGTCTTGATCTTGTTAGGGCTAATGCTGCTAACATGTGATGCCTCTTAACAGTATGTAGCCTTTGTCAAAAAGTAGAAAAGAAGCTAACACTATCTATAATTAGATTAGAGCGCCCGCACTCGAGTAATTTATAAATATCAACATTTAGCAGACAAATGTGACACAATACCTATATGCTTTCTGCTAGCACATTTGAGCATTATAACAGTTTCAATTTAAGTACATTTGAGACCAAGTTTGCAGAGATACTAAAAGGTTTCTTGTTACTATACACATCGGTACCACTGTTTGGCTCTGGAATATGCTTTGAGTTTGTAAACATGGGCCAATAACCAACCAAATAATTCAGCTGTCATTGCGATTATTACAGTTTTCTCGTAGCCTTGTGCAATAATTTGAATTTGCTCCCTGCATGTAAACGTACTGAGCGATCACACCTTTGCTCGCTCACGCCGCGAAGGTGCTGACAGCGCTGTTCACCTGAGACACGCTCCTGTTGTGTAATTCTACCTGCTTAAGTAACAGAACGCAGACAGCCGACAAGCAGCTCGTGATCCTGTATCGCTTTACACCGCATGGATGAATACAGCTCTGAGGGGGGCTCCACTTCGCTCCTGACGCTCCTGCTTGTACACCGTGCGGTTTTGGGCAGGGCCGAGTGCGTGGCGTATCTCTTTCACTACCCCCGCCCTGTTTGAAACCACTACATCTGAGCCGGAGCGGGCCAGGAAGCCATCAAAGCTTAAAGGGACAGAGAGATCAAGCCACTATGTCGAAATCCACCCTCTACCACTGTTACCGCTGCTCCGTGTCTATAGCAACCGTGCCAAGTCCTGCCCTCTGAATCCCGGGTTTCATCGCTGGCACAGCTGGCATGCCCCCCCCCCTCTGCCATCAACTGGATTTTTGCACTAATCACCCTTAGGTCATCTCAATCACAGCAGGGACAAGCGCAAGCCTCATCAGATCTTCAACCTGTCAGTCAAAATCTATATTTTTTTGTTTCAAAGAGCGCACACCACACTGTATATACTCAGCGTATCCCCGTTTCCTACGACTACACATTCGCTTAGCTGCGTCAGGTCTCTCAAGCTGGGATGTCTGCGTGGTTTTGTTAATTGAGTGTATACATCCAGAGAGGTGTGGTCAAAAGGGAGGGAATGGGCAGAGAGTTACAGAGTTTAATGGTAGATCAGCCAAACCCAAGTCACACACTAACCCGCCACACATAAGACCCCGCCCCTTGCCCCTCCCCTTCAGTTTCTATTTATTTGTCCATCCGTGCGCGCGTCACTTGGTCGGCATCAGTCCCAGCCGTTGTCCTTGATCATGTGGGCCAGCTCGATGATGAACTTTCCTTCTTTGTATTTCTGGCTGCTCTCAAAGGCATGTTCCTATAGGGCACAGAGAGGAGAGGGGGAGAGAACGGTTAAAAAAGTCAATTGCCATCTCATCTACTACACATCATGACAACATCCTTGACTCAATGGCCCTGTTCAGTCCCTGGAAGCTGGTTATATAACTAAAAAGAATCAGTCATTAAGCGATGCAGAACACAGAGGAGAGTCCGCACAAGTGAAAGTCAAATCCTTGTAACATCACGTTGGCAGGAGTGAGTTTGGAAATGAAGATACTGTGCCAAAATGAAAAGCCCTGCAGGTTTTACACAGCCTCGCATGGAGCCAGCTAAAAAGGTGATGTTTGGAGTGTGCAGGCAGCAACATGCACTAATTCTCCCACTCGCATGCAATCCAGAACACCCCAGGACAAAATGAGCAGCAAATCAATCCCACAGATAGAGGCATAAAGATAGAACTCGCTGCTTAAAACATCGGAGTGGGTGTATTTTTGCCACAAACTGCTCTACACTATTAAGGTGACATGAGCGACCAAAAATATAACATATCATTGTAGTTTAAAGACATTATTTGGAAAAGTACCAGGACTAAACATGTTGTGGTTAATGTGAGCAGTGCAATTATTAGCATCTGTACAGGCTTGTTGAACACATTCAAGTTGATCTAAACATAAACTGTGATCAAGTTTATGATAAGTCACGTCAGTGTTTTTTGCTGAACAACATTTTTCTTGATTAATTTACTTAAGTAATCTATAAAATTGTTTGTTTCCAGTTATCAAAGGTTCACAGTCCATACCTCTCTGAAATAATTAGATGAGTAATATTGATCCAATCACTGGCAGTGTTCGCTAAATATGTAGTTTACTCAGGCCCATCGACAGAAATTTGGGGGCCTTAGGCAAAAAGCCTCACATTGGCCCCTGTTTAATATAAATTAATAGGAAGAAGGTCCAATTCTGGCCCCTAAAACCCTTGGGTTCGGGAAAACAGACCCCTTCATCCCCCGTCTACTGCCCTGACTCTACTTACGGGTACGTTTAATGATTTAACATCTTCAAGTTGGAACTGTTGTGCCTGGATGTGATTTGAATTACATTTTTAAAGCTTTTTAGCTGATTCATACACAAATTTAATCATGCCAATCAAATGTCAACAAAGAAAATAATCTGTTTGTTGACAGTCCTGGATGACTAATATTTTCTTAGTAATGTTTCCCTAAAAACATTATGACAAAATAAATAAGCTAAACAGATTTCTGAATTATAGTTTGATACATAATAGTAAATTGACTGAGTCTATTCTTTTACTTAATAACAGCAGAAATCATCATTAATCACACTTAGAGGTGGGGAGCGCGATGGAATGAATGTTTTGGGTGATGCCAGGCCTTGTTGATAGAAGCACTAATTGCCACACAGCGCCACACAGTTCACCAGCACAAACACGCTTTGACTGCGAGCGCCTGAGCCCTATTTTAGTTTGAAGGCTACACAGTACATTATCAGATTTCTCAGTGAAGGAGAGCAGTGGGTCAATTCTCTCCATGGGACTCTGACCACTGCAAAAAAACAGCTGATACTAATGGCAAGCGTCCATTACGTGCTATCTGGTGTCGGCCGTGTGTTCCAGGCAAAAATAGAGCAAACAGAATCAAGTGTGATGACACAGAGCTCCATAAGGAAATAGTTATTTTTGAGGTTAAGATGTTGGTCAATGGGTCTTTACATGAGGTGAACAACATGGGGGTTGTGTTTGCCTCCTGACTGGTGAGTTACAGATATCTGACAGCTGCACATGCTCATAGCCTGTCTGATATATGGAGACATATGTGGATGTTGTGACACGGGAACTCAAATTCCACCTGGTCCACACACTACACTGCAGGCACGTGCTCCTTCACACGTTGTGCAAAAACCAGGTTCATGGATACAGTGACTGAGGTTAAAGCAAGTCTAAACACATCTGATACATAAAACAGCATCTTCAAAAGTGAAGGATTACACTGTCCAATTGCTGCAAAAACTGTAGCTAAATCACTACCCTTATTTTCTTTTATGCGGTGGTATTAATTAAACTCTTAGTCAGCAGACGCCATCAACCAATTCATCAGCTAAAGAACTAAATGACGTTACCAGGAGTAATCACGATATGTACCGTTTTTTGTAAGAATGTTGCAAAATTGTTTTTGTTTTTTTGTCAGAATACTGAAATGATTAAAGTAGGCTATCTATCTATTTGTCTATAATTTGTGTACTGTACTTGGGCATTATGGTTACATGATATGAGCCTGGTCACACTATTTATTTATTTTTTTTACAGACAAAGATTCAGGTTCTATTTTGGAGGGCAGTGGAAATAGCAACAATTTGCCAATTATAAAACAAATAACAGAACAGCATCACTTCATCACAAGTTTGCTCTGGTGTGATTAGTCCTTTGATTTGGAGTGGCTCCATATGCTCCTTTGATAATTTAATGGTACAGGTCTTTATTGGCTTTGTATTTTAAATTTGTTTTTTATACAACATCGGCACTATCTTTGGCACTATCAGCACTTTAGCTGATCAATAGTCACCTTTATTCTGTAAGATAACTACTGTTGAATCTGACTGAGAGCTGTGACCTGTAACTGTTGGCACTGACGTCAATATTTTGTAACAGTGAGTCATGTGAAGATGCTTTTACTTTTATACACCATCAAAGTCTCTTTTTACAGCGTCTACACCATAGGCAACTCCAGTCTGACACATCCAAGTGACGGGACCATTTGTACCTATTTAATGACCGACAATTCTTTGGAAAGCCAAACAGTGTATGACATTTACCACAAGTAAATCTGTTGAAGGTGCACTATAAAACTTTTCTGGTCAAGGGCAGGGGGCTCCTCACATGTCTCCATGGAAATATTGTTTCCATGAGTGTTCCACAATATGGCAATAAACTTATATTACATTTATTCTGTTAAAGGTGTTGTTCATACCTTGAAAAACATGCATTCTTACTGTGAATGGGGTCACCTTTCTACACATCTGACTTGTAACTTTCCCTGGCAGTGTCACCAGTTTTTCTCCACTGAGACAGAAAACTTTAATGCCATACTGTGGAACATTTCAGATAAGTTGTGAATAGAAAAATTACATTGGTGCACCTTTAAGATTCAAAATAGGACTGGTAGTTATTTTTCTCTCTTGAGTGGTACATGTTTAGTTCAGGGCATGGTTTCTGATTACTGCTCCTAACAATCAAACCCCTCTCACTCCCTTTTATCCCCTAGTGGACTGTTCAAATATACTTTTTTTGTTTTCATTTACAGCATAAAATGTTTTCTTGTTGTTGACAATGACTATGTATTATATTCTCCTTCTCTCTCAGCATTTTCAAAACGATAAAATACCATCCCCATTTACAGTCAGTAATCCACTTACAGTGAAAGGAGCTCATAAAACCTTTACTTTGCAGTGAACACAATAATGAAACAACCTCTTATTCCTTCAGACTCTGATGTACTAAGCTATATACACTATTACTGCACTTCTTTGTACTATGTTTCTCCGCCTAGGCCAAATACAATTAAAAAGCAAATAAAATTACTGCGGACCATAACCTGAGACCGAATCCCTCTCTAACCTTGCCTGCCAACCTGTGTGTTGTAAATCGATGGAAACAGGAGGACACTCACGTATTTCCAGCCCAGGGTGGTCTTGCAGTTCTCACAGTAAATATCTGCTACAGCATGCAGCCCCGTGAGCAAGACTCTCTCCTCTGCAGGACCGCACCCAACGTTCACCCTGGATGCACAAATCATACACATTTAATGAAAAGGAAGTAACAGGAATAGAAATATGCGTGAGTGAAATTTAAGTTAATATATGCCATGGGAAACTTTTGGTAATCTCATAAAACTGTACTATAACTATACACAACTCTACATTGATTCAAATTCTTCCACTTTATCTGGGGCCGGGTACACAACTTTAATTTATTAGTTTGAACTTCTGAATTTTATTGCGATGTCATTCTGGAGGACGATAAGAAGTCCTTGATATAATTTCTGACTCAAACTTTTTAGAACCCCCAAAGTTTAGTGCCCTGACAGTGTCTTCTTAAATAGTCCTGACTTAATCAACTTACTAGACAAGACATTAAAAGAAATATTTAAACTGATTATTTGTTTAACACTGTAATTGTAACACTGAAGTTTAACATTAATTTCCCTTTCTATCAGACAAAGGTAAAATGATTCATCGCAGTTAAAGGGCCCATATTATGCTATTTTGTGATCTATGTTATAATATTGTTTCCTCATCAAAAACAGACTTGGAGTTGTGTTTTGTTTCATTCACACATGTTTAACACTCAAATCCTGCATAGTTAGGCTGAGTTCTTCTAATACAGGAAGTGCTCTGCTGTGTTTTTAAATGCCACACACCTTCACTAGAATCATTTGGTCATTTCAGCCCTGGAGTTACTGAACAAAAGCTAAAAGGTTCCCATTAACTTGAAAACTACTGCTTCATGACATGACATGACAAGGTGCAGAGCATTTTGAGCTTTGAAGATGCTGACAGACTAACAATGCAGGATTACTCAAATTTATGTAAATGAAACAAAATACAACTCCAGGTATGTTTTAAGGAGGTAACAACATCCCGACATTGTTTAAATCTCACAAGAGTCAATTTTGCGTGATATAGGACCTTTAACGTGAACTAGTTAAAGATGCTATTGAGTTAAAATGTTGTATGATGTGTTGGAGTGAGTCAGTGCCTCACACCCACTCACACTGAATACTGATGGGGCACCGGGCCACAGAGCATCGTCTCATTTTCACTCTCAATTCAGCTGATAATGGGCTGTGCTGCGAGCCATACACTGGCTTTGTCTCTACTAGGACACCAACGTGACCACTGTGTCACAAAGATACTGTACATGTCCTATTTCTCCTATCTCCTAAGTCGAGTGGGCTACATATGTTCAGCACACCATATCTCTGCGCATTCAACCCCCGTTTGTAAAAGCCACAAAAGAGAGAGATACTTACACTGAGTTGAATAGGTAGGCCCTGCCCTGACTGCCTTGGAAAGACTGCACAAAGAGAAAGAGAGATGAAGGTTACTTGAGGATGAGTTAGTTTATTATTATGGCAAATGTGTCCAAATGTTTATAAAATGTAAATAAAAACAGTTATTAAAAGTATTTACTAATTACATTAAATTATTTATGGGTTTCAAGCTATGACAAAGTTTCTTATTATACCAATAACAGCATTAAAATGAATATAATATATCTTTTTAATGGGGAATAGTCAAAAAAAAACTTTTATTTTATTTTTCATTACTACTGTCATCATAGTCCCAAATTAAGTTGAATAAATGCCTAAAACATTTGCTGTGGTACGGAACAAATCTGCAATCGATGTTTACATTTTTAGTTACCAAACAAAATTAAACTTTAAATAATTACATGCCTGCTGCCTGCTGAACTGTTTCAGGTTTATAATGTCATTTAGCATGACAAAGAGTCTTTATTCTGCATTTAAACAAGTGTTAGGCCTTCAGGTAAAGGCTGCATGTTTCCAATGACCTGGCGGTTGGCCGGGCTACAGTAACTAACAGAAAGCAGAAGCACGAGGAGGAAACAATAAAGCGTTTGCCTGCTTTGTGTGGCGCTCTTACGACTGGACAGGGCCTTTGTCAGAAGAGCTGAGCTGTGTTTTCATGATCACGTATGGAAAAAGTGACAGTGCATTCATAATCCAACCCGCTTAGAGCCTAATCCATCCACAGACAATGGAGTGGCAGATGACAATGAGGTACAGGTGCTCATTGTTAGAATATTGTCTTATGTACATTTCTCATTCAAACTCATTCAGTCCGATCATAGATCACATAAGGAACAATGTAGAGGGCAACATTATACTAAGTTGATGCAATGAAAAGTTAAGTGGCTGGTATACTTGGGCATTATTGTTGCATGAATTAATGAAAATATAGAACTATAAAAGGTTAAGATACTGAAAACATAAAAATTGTGACCAAAAAGTACAACCTGAACCTTAACCTGAATAACATGCATACTTTTAAACGAGCCATATCTTCCAATTACAGCTTTTTAACTTCTACTTTTGTGTTATTCCTTTTTTTGAACTTGCTGTAAATTTTATTACTGCGAACACACAGGAACTGTTAAAATAGGAGTGTGGGTTCAGAGGTGTGAACTGTTCTACTGCTGTTTACACTGCACAAAGGGGCTGTTGCATGATTGAAAAATAAACATTCACATCAATCAACAGGTTTTTAGCGCTCTCCTTTTTAATTCAAATGGACCACCCACACGAGGCCACCTGTGTTTCCAAAGTACTCAGGTCTGGTACACTTTTGGTACTGAAAAAGTATCCATGCTGACCCAAAACGTAACTGTCTGTTCTTTAGAACTTAAGATGTATTTGACTGGCCATTGGTAATCTAAACTATTATTACGACTATTAACCATCACAAAAGAAAATGGATCTGTCAACTAGACAAAAGGTTTTAAGAGAAAATAGATCCAAATAGCTTCTTCAGTTCTGACAGGAGCTAATTGAAGTGGTGAAATGTATATCCACACTTAAAAAACATTGTCCATTTGACAGCCAGTTTTGTTTTGCAATGGAACCTAAATGAATGACTGAGGGATTGCAGACTACTAATGTTAACAATAAAATATATTTAAAAAAAATATGTTTTTGAAGCACTCATGTAATGTCATGTTTATGTTTATGTCACTTCTTGTCTCTTATGGTGACAGAAATCCAAGCCTCCTCAAATACTCCAATACTCAACTTTGAACTGTTTTCCTTACAACCTCTTGTATATAGCTGGTTTATTATTTTATTATTAATTTTTCTATTGTATTTTTACTTGTACATATACATTTATATATTTACCTTATTTAACATCAGTCTCTTGCTATTTTTTTCCTACTTATTTAGAATTTATTATTACCATTTGCATTTTTTACTCTTGGTTATTATAATATGATATGATGTGATGTGTGAGCTTCTGTGTCCAAGTTATTTCCCTTGAGGATCAATAAAGTTTGTCTACGTCTAAGTAAACCACATATGCACTCTATATAAGGCCTGTGCTCACCTTGGAGATGAGCTCGTCGTGGTTGGCCAGGTGAGCTCGGCAGTGGATGCAGCTGTAGGTCCGATGACAGCTGGGCAGGTAGGCCTGAAAGGTCTTGGAGCGCGTCATTCTGACCATGGGCGGTGTTGGCGGGCGGTGCAAGAAGGGACTGCCAGCCCAGGTCGGCTCACAAGGAAAGCACCGCAACACACAGGTGAGGGCCGTGGTGGGCGCTGGGGCGGGAGGCACACACCTGAGGGGGGAGGAGGGAGAGGGAGGAGGGTGAGACAGGGTGGACTTGTGTAACGGCTGCAAACTGACACTGGGCGTGCAAACTGAGGAGCAGGTGCTGTCTGATAGGATTAACACTCCTTCTCTCCACAACACTCAGTTTCCCACCTGCATAAACATGGGATGTGTTCCGACATCCTTTGAGCGAGGCCAGCTAAAAATACGTGTTTATTCACATTTGTAAAGTTCAGACGATTACTGCTTGTCTCCATGGATATGTTATTGCTTTACCTGGAATGTTCCAAAGTATATCATTAAACTTCCATTTTATTTATTATTTTTATCAATGGTGTTTATATTGCTAATAAATACAAAATAATGCCATACAGTGGAACATTCCAGGCAAAGCAATAGAGGCATGGATAGAATCAGAAGCAATATTTTAAGTAGTAGTTATTGGATTCAAAATATAAATATTCAAATATGACATTTGCAAGGGCTCTGTCATGGTGATTCATAAAAAAACTGCAGAATTTGCTGACTAACTATTCTATTAAAAGTTTTCTCTGGGCCCCTGTGACTACCTCCACCATGTTGACACACGAAACAGTCCACTGTACTGTATTTCCCTCCTTAAAAGCCACACTGTCTTCAGGCTAATGGACTGGCAGCGCGCTCCAAAGCAGCTGCACCCTCACTGCAGGTGCCACCATCAGCTGCCTCCATTCGCCGTGTCCCACCAGCTCTGGCCTTATTGGGACACAGAGGCGGCATTGCTTGCTCACATTTAGTATTTAAGTCTAGGAGGCCGTGGGGATAATCTGCTTAGACTAGCACAACTGCGAAGCCCGTGCTCTGCTCACTCACTCCACGACATTGAAATAGATGGAGCCCTTAAAATACTGTGCACCCTGGTGACTGGGGAGATTAGTGCACTGACCAGGAACCTGTCCAAAATCAGAGGCAAATCTGAAACAACGTAACTAGTTATTCATCAATGTGATGACATTAAACTCAGCTGGGGATACTGGATAAAGTCAGACACACATAAGCTTAAAAGTTCTATATTATGCATTGTGTAACTTTTCCCGTCAAATGCTTTTCTCCATGGTGCTTTGTCTGGAATGTTTCACAGTATGGCATTAAACCTTTTTATCTTCATGGAGACCAAACCAGACCAAGTTACAGGTCAGGTATAGGTACAGGTAATCTCGTTGGCAGTCAGAATGCCTGTTTTTCTAGGTATTTTTTTCACCTGTAATTGAATAAATGTAAGGTAGAGCTGTTTAATGCCATACTGCGAGACATTTCAGGCAGAGCAATGACATATCCATAGAAACAAACAGGTGACAGACCCCAACCAAAAAGTTACATAGTGTCCCTTTAAGCCATGTTATAATCTTGTTACTTCATTAAAAACATAAATGAATTGTGTTTTCTTTCATTCACACATTTGAATAATCCTGGTTTACTAGTCTGTCTAGATCTCTAAAGCTCAAACCGTTCTGTTCCACCTTGCGATGTCATGTGGTGGTAGTTTTCAAGTTAACTTAGCTACCTTTTTACCTTTAGTTCTGTAGAAACTGGTGATATTGGAGATAGCTAGGACTATAGACTGTGATGTACTGGGACACTTCATCCACTCCGATCAGAGTGTGAAGGACGACACTTGAATAGATCTGTGGAGATTTAATGTCCTTTCTTGTATGGTTGTACCTGGTTATCTATAAGGACATCTAAATAATATTACTAGCTGAAATGACTGTACAGAGTATTAATAACTTAACTAGCACATATAATCAGCACATGAATAACTGTTAAACAATGTATGTCAACAATCGCATATAAATATGTAAATTAATCATGTTAATAAAGTAAATTAGCATCAGAACATTTACACAACAATTAAAGAACAGTTAAATAAATAAACTTATTTACAAACCTACCTCTGTCATAGATGCAGATTTAGATAAAGGTTAAAGTCAGTGAACTGAAGCTACAGCAGTTTAGGCTGGAAACAACAATGTTACCATGGTACCAGAAACAGCGTTACCATGGTGCTCCCAAGGACCCCTGAGCTGCCCAAAAATGCCTGAACTAAATAAACAGTTACTGAAATAAAAGTTATACTAGGGAATTTACAACAGGTAATTCCAGTGATTCTAGTGAAGGTGTGTGAATTTTAAAACCACAGTGGAGCACTTTTTTGTATTATCACATGACATCACAAGGTGTTTCTGTTTAGGAGAACAAACTAAATATGCAGGGTTTGTGTGTTCGAATTAAACAATCATGAGGAAACATTATAACAGATCAGAAAATAGAGCAATATGGGCTCTTTAAGCAGAGAGAAGCGCCTGAAATGGGAATCAGTTATCAGTTATAATATAATGCTTGTTTCCACTGAGATGTCATTACTTTGCCTGGATTGTTATAGACAGCGGCATTACTTATCTTTTATGCATTTATTCAAATTAAGTAATATTTTTTAAAGTATTTTTATTGCTCTAAGTTACCTTTATGAACATACATTCCTGACTTGTAATTTGGCCTGGTGATGTCACCTGCATGGAAACAATTTTGATTTAATGCTGTACTGTGGTAGTCAGGCTGGTGCCACCTAATGCCTCTGCTCAATTTCATTTCTTTCCAGTGACCGTGGGGAATCAGAATACACTACACGGTTTGCAAAAACCCCAAAAGTGTGAGTTCGGGCACCAGCCAATCAGTGAAGAGCCATACATTCTGTGTTGTCAACGATTCCTGAGATTGAAGATTTAAAGCCGGAAGAGAATTTTCTGTGAATTTTATCAAGGGGAAAGACGTTATTGCCCTTCTTTCTACGAAGAGCTTAATATACCAGTTAGCCCCGTTAGTGGCGCATTACATATGTCCCGACGAAATAGCAGCGATTGGTTAAATGAAAAAAGTACCTGCCTACCGTCTAACAAACGAACTCTAAAACGTCAGACAGTTTCTACAAAGTGAAACTGGCTGAAGAATCAAGCTAATACTGTGGAACATTATGAGCAAAGTATAACATCTTCATTGAGACAAGCAACAAGCAGGTAATGGATTCTCCACTAGAAAAGTTACACAGTGTGCTTTTCAGTGGAAGTATACATTTTCTGGGTCTCCCAATGTGATATTGTTGATATGCCGTTATCATTGTAACACTGGTCTTTTGTACATTGTTTTTAGTCGTCATCTATTATTTAAGTCAACAGAAACTCATGTAACATCCATCAACTATCCATATGCTGTTTCCTCTTTGTCTTGTGTGTCTGTGGTGAGCCATCTGGAAAAACTAATAAAATTGTGAATGAGAGCAGGAGGACAAACAAAAGAGGCCTCTCCGCTCTTCAGTGTCCTGTGATATGATTGGTTTGAGAGGCTGATGATAACCGCTCCATCCGGTGCAGTTGGTTAGGACGAAGGAAAGCGAGAGAGAAATGGGAGGGAGGGGGGGCATATAAATAAATAGTGGCAGAGAGACGTGCCCTTGTTTTCTCTCCTCTGAATGGCAGCCAGCGGTGTGGGATTGGGGCACAAAGACACGCTCAGTACAGTTGTCGGATTTGACCCCCCGTCACACACACGCAGACATTTAGCCCAAAGCTGGAGCTCTCCTCACGGTCATTTCAGGGCTTGAAATGAGGACATCAAAATTCTTGCTTGTTTGTGGGGGCTTTCAGTTAATCGAAAAATGATATGAGACATTTGGTTTTAGAAAATTGGTTCTAGTCTATTAAATTATTATGCAACAGCAATCGAAAAAAGTCAGTGTTGATAATCCTACAAGTATAAGCCCAGTTCAGCTCCAAAGTTGTGAATGTACGACAGTGTATTCCAAGTTTTTTTGTTTTTTTTGTTTTTTTTCAGGATACATGTGAAATAACGCCAAAGATAAACAGCTATAGTAACAAATAATCGCACAAATGAGCACAAAGAGATCAGCTCGTATGTACTTCCTCTCAACCAAAGCTGGGTTTGACCTCTGCTACTGTAGGTGATGTGTATTTTCGAGTGAGATCCACATAAGGTTCATGTATAAATGTGATTGTTTGCACAATCACATCTGGCATGGCCATACCTGCTTGTTAATGCCAGATCTCCGAGGCTAAGCAAGGCCAGACCTGGTTATCGGATGGGAGACCACAGTGGAGCAGCAATGGCTCTACTAGAAACTGTGTCTTTAGGCAAGGCACTTCACCCACATGTATGATTGTGGTGTGAGTGATGATGTTGGTTGATGTTGGTGAGTGTTGAAGGGCCGATGGTGCAAATTGGCAGCCTCTCTTTCATCAATCTACCCCAGGGCAGCTGTGGTTACAATAGTAGCTCACCACAACTGAGTAATAATAATGCTCACCCACTATATAAATCAACTTTTATTATGAATTATTATTATTACATCTCTATCAGCTTGCCAACTCTGTAAACAGCTATCTAAATCTGACCTTTTATTACTTCACTCATTCAGATTGAGAACATTTACCCCTAAACTGAAAAATGGAGTCTGGGTCACTAAGCTTTTGAGCAATGTCTGCACCTGTCATGTATGTCTAATCACACTGCTTTATTGTGTCATTACAAAAAAACAAAATGATGATTCTTTGATCAAATTACCTTGCTGGCCTCAGCTGGTCACCACAGATAAACAAAGCTGGCTAATTATTCTAAGTAATTGGGTTCGGAGATGGTCTAAGAATAAAAAGCTCCAGCCTAAGCCCCCCAATACATTTAATGACATTAGATTGTAGCTCATCTGAGGCTTTGGCAGCTACATTTGTTTCTTTGTGATGAGGGGGACAGCTGAACCTTTTCAAATGTAAATGTGATTCATGCGGGCGACCTGTCCATTAGTCCTGAAGCGGGGGCCAGACACATGAAGTGCTTCCTCAAATACAGAGCTTTGATGGATGCTTACAGCTGTCGTCAGTGGCTGATGTGTGGATGTATAAACCGCAATGTTAATGTGCCCTTACTAAATAAATAGACCTACAATGAAATGCTTTATATAATCTAAGTAGAGATGTGTTGCCAATATACTTTATCATTGTTAGCTGAATGAAGTAATACAAAATATATAGTGGTAAATCTTGTCTTCAAATCCTCTGAGGAAGCAATGTTATTTTAAGACCTGTCACATCAACTGTATAATATTGTAATTAAGTAAGTAGTTAGAGGGCCTGCAAATTGTTATGTTGTTACCATCATATAACTTATGCTTATTTATGTATCATTGTTGTGTTCCTTAATTATATGCTTGGGTCTTGTGGTTTGGTGCAGAATTTAGACTTTAGGAGAACTACTGTTACTATTTTTTTGTGCTGAGTGTAAATTATTAAGAGTTTGTGGTGTTTCTGTTCGGGAAATTTACGCTGAAAGACATTTTATTAAGAAAAACACCCCACCCCATCTCCTTGTGTGTGTTGTCTCTGTTGTGTGTGATGTACCAGTTGTCTTATTATAAATATTGATTTTGTATCTATTTCCTAATATTGTTTATTGCTTAAAAAAACTGCATTGAATTGAATCTTGTCATACAATCCTCGGAGTTCAAGGTTAAATTTTATAATAGTCATTTGTAAGTCATAAAATATTAATAGTGATAAGAGCCTTTGCCATACAAGAGAGCAAAACTCATCTTGGTGAATGTAAAAGAAAAAAATAGAATATGAAGTATGAAGTATGATTTTGACTGCTGAAAAAATGCTAACGCAAAAAGCCAATTTGATAACTTTGCAAGTGAAAATGACAAACTACATGAGTGATTTTCCTGAGGAGTGGGATATCAGACATCCAGACAGGTCCTTCCTTCCAAACGTGTTATTAGGACTGGCATATCAAGGCCAAGATTGCCTCCGTAGTTGTTAACAAACGCATGACTCCTTTCTCACTTCCTGTCTTTGTCTCCACTTGAGTTTTCCACCGCAGTCTATTCATCCATCCTGATGCAGGCCGTCCGAGGACACCGAAATAGCTCATTCTGGTCATTTCGTGATGCCAGCACAAAAGACTATACGTACCACCCTTCTCACCCGCCAAAAGCTCCCCCTTGTATGACAACAAAAAAACCTTTGTTATGTAACGCACCGATGCTGCTGCCTTTTTCTCCGGACAATGACAGAAAGTGGGAGAAGGTTGGAGGAGATACCAGATGAGATATGGAGGGGGTATAGACCAAACAAGGACGCAACTCAGCGCATAGGATTGGTCCTTGGTTCCCTCGACGTTACCTCACTCAGAACTTTGTGTGCTCTCAGTGTTAACATCAAGGCCTTTAGCTCAGAGTGGCTGCATGACATCATTGAGTGAAGAGGCAAGACTCCTCCGCACGTATCCCCCTATCAAATCTCCCTGATGAGGTCTTGTCTCACTGCTAAAAGGGGCAGTATAAAATATGGATGAAAGTACAGCAAATGCGGCAGTGGAATGGGTAATAAGTGAACAGTGAAATTAGTTTTTTAAATTGTATCTAACGTAAGTCTATGAAGCCGGTTTATTTTTAATGTCAAAAATGTAGACTAAACTATGTCTAAAATCAAATAAACAAACTGACAACCAGACAGAGTTCAAAGGGTGATGCCAACATCCAATAATGCAGAAATAAGTAAATAAATATTACTTACACCAATATATGTATGGTGTGTGGTGTCTTGGAATCAAATATCCAACTTCAGTTCTGCTCTATACCATGGTGCCACTGCCAACCCAGTAATATTATATATATATATATATATATATATATATGTTTTTTTTTAAGTCTGTAAGTTGCTCATGACTCCATCTGCTGGTAGTAATATTTATTTGTTTTGATAATTTGTTGGAACTGCTACTCTTTTGTTCTGTCTGGAGACTCTGAACTCTGAAATGGTATTCATCTGCCATGTGTATAACCATCCACATTTAAACAAATACACATATTGTACAAGTTGTGTTTTTGTACAGCCAAGAGAAGGGATCACTTTTCAAGGCCCCCAACTCTCTGACCTGTGCCTGTGTACTGACCCACTATGATCAATACCTATGTGCACGCACACTCTGCAATGGAAATAGATCCAAACAGACAAGCTAGGACTCATCAACAACATAAGTGCCCTCACGTGAGGATTGCAAACACATATATAACTTAAATGTTGTCAAATTTAACTTCTGAACATAAAAGGAGCCGATGGACATTTTGCAATCATTCTTTTTTTAACATTAAAAACATAAGGTTTTCTGAATACATTGAACTCTTATGTCCACTTGTTTATGTAGTTAATGTAACAATAGGCTATTGGTTTTAACAATAGAGGCATCCCTCCAATTGTGGAAACACTAGTTAAATAATAACTAGGCCTTTGTTGTAAACATGGTAGGCCCATGTATAAAATTAGTATGATGTGATTACCTGTTTCGCTTGTAATACATTTGTGCTCTCCAAGATAAAAGCAAGTAGGACTGAGGAGAGTAGTTACTGGAATGAATCAGGTCACAGGCAGTGGCGCACTTTATCTGGGGCATAACTTCTGCCACCACACGGAGCACAGATGGCGGGGATGCCTCAGCTCAGCAGTGCTTAACTCGTGCACACACTCACACATGCATTATCGGACACGTAGGCCTTTTAAATCGCCATATATCTGTAGATACAGGAGAACCAGGTGATGCACCCAGACTTTCTCGTCACATGATGTTATTGTAACCCACAACGATAACGCGCTGACGTGCACGCTGTATGCGCTATCCTCTGCGTGCGCAAAGTGCGTGCACACAGTGATGATGGCGCATACATGCAGAATCTTCCACCACAAACATGGGTCCTAATAATAACCTACTATAGGACCACTGTGCTGCAGTGTGGCCCGTAGACCTGAGCCACGAGGAGACACGAGTGCAGACATACTCGTTCAACAACAAAGACTTTCATCAGGAAATAACATTAGACATGTGTTAACGCTGTAATAAACATGGCAACAAGCACCAAGTTAGAGGCTAATTATAAAAAAGTTGCCATAATCTAAAAATGCCAACAGCCTTTGGTGACATCCTTTTTGTTAGAATGTTAAAGTAGGATGTAAGCAATATGTAACAATGCGCCAAAGCAAATCATCATTGTTACCTTTGATGGGAAGAAAACACGGTTCACCACGTAGCCCGAAAACGTCGCACCTCCTCGTTTCCTCGTGGCAGTGCCAATTCTAAAGCTCCTTTCGCATTCCTTCCCGGGATATTTTCCTCTGCTCTTTTCTGGCCCTGGCAAGTCCAGCTCAGACGCAATGTTTTGACGCGCAACGATGCCCAGCAGAGTTTAGAAGAGCAGAGAGACGCAGAGAGGTAATAAAGGCACCAGCCGGGACAAGAGAATTAATAACGTAACTTCCGCCTTTGCAAGAATGTGCAAAGGATTTGTTAGTATAACCACGATTACATGTTAAACTAAGTCCAGTTTTCAAAATGCATGAATAACATGTCGCCACTTGTTACAGACTATCCAAAATCATGATGGGTTAAAATAATTATCTGTAGCTGTGTGAGTCAAAACATAAACACTTCTAAGGTCTCGTGAGCTACCTGTGGTTGATGGAATATAAACACAAACATGTTATGTTTACAAAATAATGTAGGAATTTTGCGTTGTATGTAGTGAAATTGCATAAAGGACTCGATTTATGTTGAAAATAAAAGTTTTTCTCCCCCTTAATTAAATATTAAGCTTCTACGGGGTATTTATTATTTTGACAACACAAAATCTTTGGCAGAATAACATGAGCACGGGTAAATGACGGACTCGCCAGCCAATCAGCGATTTCGATAAGCATAGCAACATTGACCTGATTGGGTGAAAATACAGATGAATGACCAATAAATAGCACAGAATTCTCCAGAAAGCACAATAAACAAAGCTAACGTGGTTGCATTTGTTGAAACTGAAAGTGAACGCACGAATATTACACCAGTGAGTGTAAATCACCCTCAGACTTTACATGACATTGGCAATAAGATAATTAGTACAGAGCAATATCTAAACTGTGAGCCAAGCTGTGAACACGTGTAGCTATTGATCACCTCGCAGCACCCCCAAGTGTTGGTCAAGCAGTAAAGCAGAGACAGAAGTCTAATGAAAAGAACATAACATCTATTTTAATTGACAAAATTAACATATACTATTTCAGAATCCAATCAGCTGCAAAATACTTGACAACTGTTTGTTGAACAAGTAAGTAGTCCTGTGCACATTTAAAATATTTACAATACTCATTTCAAAATACTCATTGCAACAAATCTTTTTTTTTTTTTTTAAATGAAAACCAACACCAATAAAATAAACAACACATTATATCATACCACATAAATTCCTTTTTCAAGTATATATAAAGTATATAATATATAAGTATATAAAAACACTTTACATTCAGTGGAACTCATTTCCTAAACAGCACATTTGGATAAAATAGGTAATAATAGGCCTAATCAGTCCGCTCTGTTGAATTAAGTCAAATAAGTTATTCATTTTGTGCCAATATTGATTGACTTACTTTAGCTAGTTGAAAATCAAAAGAATATTCAACAAACACTTTTTTTTTTTTTAAACAAAATGTAGAAGCGACATGTGGCAATGATTCAGTTCAATACCTTAATTGGCTAATTAACAAATACTCCTTTCTAGAGATACTTTTAAAAAACTTTGGAGATAAAAAACAAAACAAAAAACCCAAAAGGTCTTCAGTAGTTTCTTTCATCTCCATTCAAGTGTGAGAGGCAGTGGTGACAGGTAGCCTACACTAAGTTTTCTGATAGGGGGGTACTCCACCTGCTTGTCTCCATTGAGATGTGACTGCATTGTCTGCAATGTTCCAAACATTATTCTAGACAAAACATCTCAGTGAAGACAAGCAGGTTGCAGACCCTCCAGATAGGCTACATAGAGCACTTTAAATTCATCTCTTTTTAACCTACAAATACAGTAATTCAGTAATGTTATATATTCAAGAGTGAGCAAAAGACACCAAAATGTAATGGAATAGGATCAAATCAAAATCTAGGAGTGGCTGTGAAGCGAAACACTAGTTAAACTAATACTCCATGTCATGTTTGACATTGACACTCAGGTGAGCAGTAAATTGCTGGAATGCATGCAGGATAAATACTGTAGGTGTGGTAGGTTAAGGAGCTGGCGTGGTAGGTCAGTCACTTTGAAGGATAATTAGTGGTACAAAGCTTTGAGGTAGCTTCTAGCAGCAGGTCATTCAGGCTTTGAAATGCCATTCTTGTCCATGAAGTCTCTAAGCCGTGTGGGAAAATCTGTCATAACCCCTGTGGCTCCCAAGTCAAATGCCCTCTGAAAGTCCTCCTCATCATTCAGCACCCAGATGTACACCTGAAACCAGATATACAAAGCACAAAGACAGTGTTTGGACCCCTGTCGCCTATTTATGAACACGCTAAGAGCCTCGTACATTTTTACCATGACACAGTTCAAAGCAGGTCATACAAAAGCTAAACAAACACTGTTATTCCCAGAAATAACTGATACAAGGTATATTTTAAGCCCACATGCACTTAATTACAGCAGAACATCAATGTCACACAGTCTTGTCATAACAATAAAAATATGCTGTGTACCTGTATCCCTCTTGCGGTCAAATGATTGAACAGGGCTTTTCTCATCAGCAAGCTAAAACAGGAGATGTTATAACTGGTCAATGAAACAAATAATAATAATAAAAGTGCAAATGAATCACTACAAAATAATAGTAATTTTGTGTACTCACGCATCAGCTAACCAGATGATAAATCTCTGACTTCGGGTTAAGCCATTAGGATCCTTCATTCTGAATGATTTAACATTCTTATATTAGCTAATTAAAACACATAAATTCAGTAAATATAATGGGGTAATTCTTTTAATATATGGGCAACTCAATACATACAAGTTGGTTGCTTGTGTTTTCCCTTCTGCAGTCCTTAACCATCTTATTTTCAGTATTTTAAACCCACAATACATGGCAGAATATATATATTGTGTGTGTTTAAATCATACGAAATATTGTTGGTATTATTATTATTATTGTAAGAGCATCGACTTACACTCGGAAAATTCTTGTTATTAATCTGGGCCAGTATTATAGCTTAATCTGGTGAAAAAGTCTCACTAAAACCTTTCATACAGTGTTGCATAGAACTCTTTGTTTTCGGCTTGTTGTAAATGTGCTTGTAACCCATTATATGCAATGTAAGAATACAAGAATGCCCTTAGGTGTGTGTCTCACTCTCACCTCTGGTCTAGTTAAATGTAATACACAGCAGTATCAGGTTTTATGCTCAAGTTTATATGACTAAAATGAATCTTTTTAACTTACTTGGTGAGAATGGAAGGCATGGGGATCTCTAAAAACTGTTCTTTGAGTGGAACAAAAGGTAGAAGGCCTGTGTAAAAGAGCCCCAACAGCTGCAGTACTCTGGGCAGACTAAACAACACAGGGATACGCGGATTCTGCAAAACACAGCACAAATAGAACAACCTTTCAGTATTATTTTTAAATATCTTCATTTTAAACAATTATTAACTGGATACATGTACCTCTTTGTAACACTTTTTAACAACTTGATTGCGGGCATTTCCCCAAACAGTTAGATTCTCTCTGTCATACTTCATTACAAGATCAGAAACCTGCAAGTCATAATTTTAATCACATTATTCTCACGTGATATATCTATAAACAATAAAACAGATGATTTGTTGAGTCACAATCACCTTCTTAATGAGGGTGTCATTGTTATCCTTGATGTCAATGTTAACTGGAGTATTGGGAAAAGCATCAAAAACATCTCGAAGAAGAGGGATCCTTTTGTCATCTCCTCCAGCACAATAACACTCTAAAATATAAAGAAAACCAAAAACTGGTGAGCAGGTCTTAAATTATATACAGTTGGACAAGCTATTGTGAATACAGGTTAATATGAATTTTGCTTATTAATGATGTTGGTGACTGTTGTAGTACAGAGGTCATGTATTTATTATGTTATCTTACTAAAGGTAAAGGCCACCTGCTCACCTCTTTGAAATGTAACATCCAGTTTGCAGAGGTAAGGGGGCAGCTCCTGAATAAAAACAAAAAGCGCTCAGAGTTAGCATTGTATTCTGTGTTATTCTGATTAAGTAACAATATATATTTTTTGCTCACTGCGTATAGTACATGTTTAATGGTTGAGAGATGCATTTTAACTGCAGCTACATTTTTTATTCAAATGCTTATTGCTTTTCTGAGTATGAATTGTTGAGCAATCAATAGCAGCTGTTGCTTAAATAATTCGCTGAGATCTATCTAACAAGGACAAAGGGCATGGACTCAATAACAGACAAAATGCATGTTTCTTACATTGTATGTCATGTCAGAGATGTAGGCATTGATTCCAGTAGCCCTCCGAAGGTTGGCATCATGTGATACCACAACCTGTTCATCTTTAGTCAGGTGACAGTCCAGCTCCAGCATATCTGTACCAACGTCCACAGCGCTATGCACAAATACACAATAAAGTATAGTATAATCTAGTAATTTTGTTGTCTTATCTTAGTGTAGCCACTTTTGAAAGAAGAAAATGTGTTATCTGTTTAACCTGGCTATTTGTTTTCCATTTAAAAATGTGGTTTAGACCTTATTGCAACATGTTTCAGTATATCAACTGTAAACCATAGGTCCAAGTAACCACACAAAAATAATGTCACATGTCAATAATGTCACAGTCAAATCATGATGTAGATCAGATGACTGGTCTCATTTACTGATCATAGGAACACATGTCAAAACCACAGGAGCTCATTATGTGGTTCAATGCATACGTACTGCTTAAAAGCTGCCATGGTGTTTTCAAGATTTTCCCCAGCTCCTGTTATGAAAGAACAAATAATTAGTCTACAATACTGATGCATGTTTTTTGCAGTAATAAAACCACTAGCCTAGAACAAACCTCCTCGATGGGAGATGTGCCGGCTGAGGAAAAGCTCTCGTTTCCTCCGGTGTAAGAGGTTGGGGCATTTCAGAAGTAGTGCAGAAGTGAGCACATAGCCAGTGACAGTGGACAGGATGTAAACAGCAGCACACATTTCCCTAAAATTTGAATCTAGAAAAGTATGGACACACTGATATACATGACAGAATGGGAAAGGTAAAAACAAACATGTGGGCATATAAAAAATAACTATCTCTGTGCAGGAAAATTAGTCTATACATCCATAACCTGAGCAGATAAACTAAAATATCTTTGAGTTTAGCCATTGATTTGGAGTTTAACCTCTCCATCCATTCATTTTCCAACTGAACTACACACAGGCAGGTCAGGTCACGATGTGGTTACAAGAACATACTAAACAATAGAAGTGAACAAAAGAATATGTCAAAATCATTATCTTTGATAGCAAGAGCATGCATAGGCTTTAACTGACTACTGAACCGCTTACATTTACTTGAAGCATAGACATCCGATCCCACCTTGTTAGGAGCTTACCTTGGAGTTGTGATGTGTGTCTCTTGTTGGTCAATGTGGGAAACGTAAAAATAATCTACAAAAACAGGCACCATTCGCTCTGACTCTGCAGCTCTCAGCTGAGTGACCAAACAGTAGCCGGTAGTCTCAAAATTGCGCATGCGCCACTGACGCGCCAATAATAAACATCCTCTCCAGGGATTTTCAAAATAAAATATTTGAAATGTCGAGTTAACACAATTGAGATGTTGTAATGTTGTGCCATAGACTTCTTCATAGAGTCTATGTGTTGCGTCTATATTATGTCAAATGTACTTTTCTGAACTCTTAAAACTACTTCCCAAGTAATTTTTGTTTCATTCGCAGATTTAACATCATAGGCAAGATTCTCATTTGCTACTACGTCTTGGTTATGAACATGAACTATGGTTATCATGGAAGTACTGTATATATGAATGGGAACATAATGACAAATAAATAAATAAATAAATAAAATAAAATGAAATAAAATAAACGTATCTGTCCACCAGATGGCGTTCTATATCTTATTTTTGTAGAATAAAATACTACAATGTGGTCTACCAGCCGTTTGGCGCTGACAAAAGGTAAATTTAATGAGCAAAAGATTGTCAACTAATTTAAGTTCCTAAAATATAACCATTTGTTGTAGATTTACAGCTAGCCTAATGAGCAAGAAGTGATTGGAAATTGTTTTAGAGCAGAGCAATGTCCAAGACAAATCTTGCACACTATCAGTCAAAGTTCATACTCAATAAATTTCACACACCCTTCTAACAGGTGTGTGTATGTATGTTCTCTTTGTTTTAAGACACTTTATTTTACAAAAATATTTACAGAAATGTCTCAAAACCCGTCAAACGTGTTGGAGGAATGGGCAAGTTTGGAGGAGGAATTCCAGCACCTTCAGGTAAGTCGCACAAATATTACGGCCATGGGCTTTGTTCTTAAACTGTGCGCTAAATGATGTCCTGACTATCTCTGTTTTTACTATACTCAGGAGACACACAAATTATATTTGCAAAAATTGGAGGAAATTTCAAAGCTGCAAAATAATTGTTCTTCCACAATTTCTCGTCACCATAAAAGACTAAAGGAGCTGTCCCACCAAGTGAAAAGGTTAACTTTGAGCTTATGTTTAATATGTCACTCACATTGCAAGATGTGGTTAATTAACTAACTCCAATTTCTGCACATTAGATGTGGCAACTCATCATCACCAGAAGACTCAAAGACAATGGATGCAATAAAAGACAAAATTAAAATGCGACCAAATGTCTTATTTGAAATGGAGGCGTTCCTTCCTAAGAAAAATGGGCAAGTACAGTTATTTGTGAGCTTATTTAGATTTATAATGTTAATGTGGACTCAACAGCCTGTAATTAAAAATGACACATTTTACAGCCTTTATCTCAGCCTGGTTCTTGGGAATGTTAATGTAACCCTCTTCAGTAAACAGTCAAAGTAAGTAAAGATGCAGTTAGAGTTTGGTCCAATTTACTATTATCCTTAAAAACATGTTTGCAGTTTCCATTACTAAAATGCTAGTTATGTGATAATAACACTATTGTGCTCTTACTGAGTTCCAAAGTTTTGATGTCCTTGACAGATTTGCGTACAAAGATGAATATGAGAGGTTCAAGCTGTACCTCACAGTCCTCGTCCTGCTGCTTTCCTTCACATGCTATTTCTTTGCCAGCTACAGGTGACTTTACACAAGCAACATTTTGAAATTAAAATATCCATTATGACCAACACAATCTTCCCTCTGATTTCAGATTTGTTGATGCAATCCTGAACTTCTTGTTGGTGTGGTATTATTGCACTTTAACTATCAGGGAAAGCATCCTTATCACCAATGGTTCCAGGTAAGACAAAAAATAAAATGAAACATAGAAAAATACAAATATGTGACTTATAACAACATTTTCAAACATGAATGTGCGAATGCATGCAGCAAATATCAGGGAACAGTAAACTTTATTACATGCTTTTAGCCCCTAATAGGCAAATTTAAATGATTTTGTATTTACAGAATTAAAGGCTGGTGGGTTTTCCATCACTATATATCAGCGTTTCTTTCTGGAGTCATGCTAACATGGTATAAGTGTCATATGAGTACTTTCATTACAGCAGTTTCACGTCTTTACTAAATTTATTTTCCCTTTTTCTTCCCAAAAGGCCAGATGGCGAGCTCTACAAGGTGTTTAGGAACCAGTTTCTTGCTTATTGCTTGTATCAAAGTAAGCTTAAGGAACCTCATTCATACAGTTTATCCACAATACTTTATCCACAAGACTTTGAATGTTTCTTTTCTGTCAACCTCCCAGGCTTTGTTCAGTGCCTACAGTGCTATTATCAGAGCGGTTGCCTGTATCGACTCAGGGCCCTGGGAGAAAGACACAACTTGGATTTAACTGTGGGTAAGGAAAGACCAAGGACACATGGTCATTATAGACATGGTAGATGATACATGTAAAATTACAGCAGTCATAACAAATGGTAAAACCTAACTAAATACAAATTCCTATGTTAATGTAATTGAGTAGATATTTTGGGTAATTAAAGATGTTTAGTCTAATTTAATTATAGTATACGGCATTATAAGTATAATTCTTGCATGTAATTGTAATTAGCTAGACTTACATTTAAATTAATAGGAATTATGGAGAACAGCACAAGTCCCAGTTGTCATGATTGTACACAGCTGTCTCACAGCTGTCTCTGCTGACTTCTATATACAAATACACATTACACCACAGCTCTGATTGACTAGTGCTCAAAGAATATGTGGAATTCGCTTCCAAACTACTTAAATTTGGTGTTGAACAGTTAACTTAATCAAGTTTAGTATAAAAGACTGATCTAAAATTCTACTAAATTAGCATTATAATGTAACTAGAAACCAGTGCTTTCTACTCTTGTGTAATTTTTCCTTAAAAGTAAAATGTCAGTACTTGCATTTGTTTACTTCAATAGGACTACACATTTTCAGTTCTCTTTCCGCTGGTTATAACAATGACAAAGCATACTAATGTATCTGTTTTATTATAGAGGGTTTTCAGTCTTGGATGTGGAAAGGGCTGACGTTTCTTTTGCCGTTCCTGTTTTTTGGTCATGTGAGTACAGTCTTAATCATTGCACTTTTGCCTGGTTTGCTTTAAATTGTTTTAGTCATGGCTAGACTAAGGAGTGGCATTGCTAAATTGTGAATAGAAATGCTGAGGTCATTGTAAGACCAGTTACTCAGCAAAAATAATACTCTTTTTTATTTGTGTGTTGCGTGTGTTTTTCTGAAATACACACTCAACGTCTTTTCAATTTCAGTTCTGGCAACTCTTCAATAGCATTTCTCTGTTCAACATGGCTCAGCTCCCAGATTGTAAAGAAGGACAGGTCAGTGTGGGCTAATTTACCCAAGGTTCACACGAGTTTACACAGTTTTGGCCTAAACCAGTATATACAGTTATTAAATATTGTCAAACATGGTAAATGCCTTCTTATTTTCTATCAATTTCAGGTCTTGTTGTGTGCTCTTTGCTTCCTTATTTTATTCTTGGGAAACTTCTTAACCACTGTCGCTGTAGTTCGTCAGAAGATGAAGAGCAGAAATCAAAAAGCAAAAAGCCAATAAAAATGTATTACAAAAGCTTGGCATTTGTTATTTAAAGTCTACAGAGATTGTCAACATTTGCTGTGTCTATTATACAGTGTATATTTTCTGAATCAGCTATAATTAAAAGTACTTCAAAAGATATTTGGCAGTTACGACTTTTACTTTAAAATACTACAATTAAAATAAATAAATAATAATAAGAAGAAGAAGAAGAAGAAGAAAAAACTGGCTTGTTAGTTGCAGTGCAATGTTGTGACTATAAAATAACTTTAAAATGTTTCATCTCTATATTCATCCCTGTGCTGCATTTGAATTGATTATGGCCTACTCCAGTGTTTCCCAAACTTTTCTCGGGACCCATATTTTAACAGTTATTAGACATTATTCGTAAATAACAAAATAAATGTGGATTTGACCATATTTTAACCACATTTTATTGTTGACTGAGTGAACACGTCTCTCTGATAAATTTGTATTACTCAAGTTATAAACACTGAAACACAGTAATTGAACCAGCAATAAAAGTTATCTATAAGAAGCTTCTTTGGACATTAAATGTAGCCCATTTCTTGTTCTTTTCAACATTAAGTTGAACCAACAAAATAGACGCCCCAAAGTTGTTTCGAAACGAAGGATTGTGGGACTTTCTTAGAATTGTCCTTGACACGAGAAAAATAAACTCATGAGGACACTCTGGATAAGGCCCTGTCAGTCCAACACAGTCTGTTCAGAATGGATTACATAACCATGACCCTTACACTGCTTCCCCTCCTCAGCATTTATTTGTTATAGCAGGTTACATGCGCACATTGATATTAGGTAATACTATATACACGGGTTCAACTGTAGCCACGTGCCAAGTTGAAATTACAAAGAACACTATCAAATATAGTCCTGTTAGTTCTAATGCATTATACTTGTTGAAATCTCCCACGTAGTCATATTTTGGGAGAGTAAACTTCTTTGTATTTGTTGTATTTGTCGGTGAGCGTCAGCACGTCCTCCCCCCGCGGACGCGCTCGAGTTGGTTTCGTCCTTCATGGCGTAAAGTTTCCTTCCGCATTGTGTTCGGTGTGTGACACAGGGCTGACACGGAGAGAAGAGCTGAAGGTAAGAGATCAGCACCACTTCTCCTTAAACTTTCAACCTACGAAAAACATTTGCATTCTTTATATCACAGATCGACCTGTTTAGTTAAAAAATATTGACTATTTAGTGTAGCAATGGTAATGGGTCAACAGCCATGTCAGGACCTTATGAAACGTGTTACGCAAATTATTGTCAGCTAAAAACAAAATGATCTACCTACCTTTCTGTTTTTATGGATAATTTTGTCTCTTAAATAGTTTTTATACATTGCAGTAACTAACCATCACTTTTAAGACGCTTCTAGTAATGCGCCACGGAACAGAATAGATAGACCATACTGTCCGGGCTACCCTAAGATAATACAGATAATATAATTTTTTTCTTTAACTTCAGTACAAACAAGAAGCATATTATGTAAACTAAATAGTGAGATCATACGGTTGGTGCCTCTTGGCGGAGTGAGTGGTCAAATGAACTTTGTTGACCTGTCTAATTCTATGAATGATGAGTACAGGACTTAAAGTTACTTCTTATGTTGATACGTCTTCATGAATAGTTCTTTGGCGTACTGGATAGACAAGATATTACGCTATACACTGGGCCATAAGGTACGTTTCATAAGATTGTGTAGCTACTAGTGTGTCAGAGGTTTTAGAGATAAGTGAGTCTTTGAATTGCCTTGTATTATCCACATTGCCAGTGTGTATTAAGTTACCTCAGATTAGGGCTATTTTGTCACTGAATGAAAAGCTGGTAATTGCTCTAGAGAGAATATAGTTGGCATGACTACTCTGTACACAACACTTCATTTCCCAGTGTATTGCCCTGCTGCTATTAACACTACCAATACAATGTTTTCAGACTATTACAAGCTAAAGGTTAATCTACATTAGTTACTTGGATTTAGTTTTTTTTTTTTTTCCTTTGTCAATGTGTTTATACACAGAATGTCAGTTGTTGGACATTAGTCAATTATTCGGTTAGACTTGTTCTTTTTGGGCTGTACAGAAACAACCATTGTGTACTGAGCATGTGCAAAGTGAAGCATACAAGTTAATTATAGTATTAATAGTTGTAGTGTCCATCACAGAACCTGTCATTGTAAGGAATTGAAACAATACTTGTTATGAATAATACAAGTTGTACTACATTTTGTAAGACTATCTTGTATCTCTATGATCCAACCATGAATCAGAAACAAACTGTACTTGCTAAATGATAAGCGGTTTTTAGATGATAATGTTTTTCTACATAAAAAAAAAGGATACAGATTGGCAACATTTTCTAAAGCTTTAAAAGAGTTGTTGTTCAATGGTTAAATATTTCACCATGTTTAACAAAATTTTATTTTTTATATTGAGAGGTTGTTAGTTTAACTCTTTAACTCTTGACTTCAAACTTCAAATGAAATGTCTGAAATGAATTGTATGTATAGTGAGTGTGCGGGTGTTATGTACTTTTGTGTGAGTGTTGCTGTATTTTTCCCTGCTCTGTAGATGATTTCACATCAACCTGTCGAGGGACTGAAGATGCAAATTAGCCTCGCTGGCTATAATCTTTACATATTTACATCTTAAATGTTCATTAATATGTGCTGTCCCTTTACAAATAAATAAATAAGAAGAAGAAGCATAAAAAGAAGAACTCCAATTACACTGGTCTTCTTTGCCACACTTCTTTTTTTCTAATGTTCATATAAAACCTTAATAATCAAAATAAAATAATTATTAGTCTACTAAGAAATGTTGATCAGCTAAGACCACTTCAAATACTGTAGATAAAATAAGAACACTTTTTTGTTTCCCTTTGAATATAGAGTGTCAACATGGCAGACATGGATGCTGAGACTGTTGGTCAGGCTGAATCAGTGATGGACCAGGAGGAGCCCTTATTCAGCAACCTGGACATCTTCCTCTTCTCTCTTGTGGTCGGCCTGGTCATTTATTGGTTTATGTCCCGCAAGAAGCCTGAACCCATTCCTGAATTCAAAAAACTTGACACAATGTGAGTAATCAACCATATCAAGTCTAAGGATGTAACAATATCCAAATCTCTTGGTATGATATTTTCACGATATGCATCTAAGGTACAATATTTATTGGGATATTTTGTGGAGGCTAACAAAACTGTGAATACACTACTTTATTCACTTAAAATGCTTTTCCTTTACCCAAAAATGTTTAACCTTTAACCTTGACCTTTGACGATATGATATCACTGTATTTCAATTATTGTTATATTCCTAATCATGTCACTTACCTGTTGCATTAGTCCCAATTATTGATTTAGATATATAGATAGGGGTGTATGAAATATTGATATATTGTATCATTTAATGTGATGATACCGTATCGATATCATGGGCTGGTGTTTCGCTATATCGCCAAGAGTATTTTTTGGTATATTTTACTGAATTATTTTGTCACAGCACTACAGTATTGTTGCTTGTTCAGAGGAAGGAAGCTCGTTTATGCAACACATTTGACATATTCACTGTTTTGATGAGTAAAATGTGTGTGATTTATAATAATTTTGCACAAGAAGTGATTTTAACAAAAACTTAAATTTTTATTGAACCGTGTCAAATCGATGTGAAATATATCGTATTGAAGTGAAAGCTCACTGTATCGACATACGTATTGTGGCCTATGTATCGAGGTATGTATTGTATTGGCAACTTCTTAATGCCCTAATATTAGATCTCTAGCTTCAGTGGATATATTTTAATAAATGTACAAAATAATGCATAATTTATATGGAAACACATTGTCCACAAAGTAAAACCATGCCATGCTAATTCTTTTTATAGAGCCTGATAAATGTTCACGTGAGTTCATACTATCTTGCCCTTATCTGGCTTTTTCAGCACCATGTTTGATCATACACCCGTGTATTACAACACAGTTACACCTAATTTAACAAATATTTCCACATATACAGTTTTATTCTAATCTTAAATTGAGCCAAAATTGTTTGCTTATGGTTATCTACATTTTTCATTAGCAGCTTTTGGTCACTGACTGTACACAGCGGGGAGTGGAGCGACCTGTGACTTCTTTGATCTGCTGTAGCTCTGCTTATTACTTAGAACCTGCAGTAAAAAACAGTCCCTCATTATCTTATGTGTTCTTAAAATTCCCATTATGGATAATCAGTACAATACCAGTGTGTGACAGGGCACAGCCGGGTGTTCTTCTTGTCAATGTTCCACTAGATATGACCTTTGTTTTCCCTGCTTTCAGTTGCTCTTTTGCACAGTTGCTCCTAAGCCACATTGGCTCATGTCTGCCAGTCTCCCTTGGACCATGGATCCTCCTCTCTCCCCGCCCCTTATCAGTGGACTGTTGGAGTGGTGCTTTATTGTGGACTCCAGTTACATAAGTCTCTCTCAAATAGGTTGAGTCTTGACATGTTTGTAAGATTTTGTGAAGATAGTGCACAGTCAGAGCTTTTGTCTGCAAATGGGAAACTGTCTACAACTAGAGAATAAGTTTGGAGTGGGTGGGGCCACAGGAAGAAAGTATAGAACAACCCCGGTTGGTCTCTCCTCCCATTTAAGTTATTATCTAACTGCTAGGGGGCGTAGTCTTTGTGTCTTTCCTGTGCTTTTTTGTTTTTGGCTCTGAACTCATTTTGAAAGTTCCCTGGAGAGCGAAGGAGGAGGAGAGCCAAGTCTCTTTTGTGAGGCTGCTCCAAAGGTGGAAAGTTGAGGCAAAAGACAAGCAGTCCTTTCTTCCCCCCAAGTTACTTTTTTCATTCTTCTCTCCATGCTTCTGTGCTTGTCTTTTTTCATCTTACTCTGTGTGAGTGCGGGCTGAGCTGCCTTTGGAGTGGGGCTCTGTCACAAATGGAATCCTTTTATGATAAATGAGGTTGCCATAGCAATGACATTCCCCTCTCTCCTCCATCGAGATGGGGGCAGGGGACATCAGAAAACAACTACCATTCACAGCTTTTCCTCGTTCAGTGTGCCACACAGGAGTTGCTCCGATAACTAGCAGGCTTTTTTTACGATGGATCTCGAATACTTTTTGGTTGCTAACACCTTTGAGAGCAGAGAGGAAAAGGGGCGGGATGAAGAGGAAGGCATTTTCAACTCCTGAGTGTTTCAGTGTGTGTGACTCCAAAGTGTGGGGCTGCTGCTCGTCTCCGTTTTATGGGAAAGTCAGTTTCCCACCATTGTGTCCATAGCGGCTGCCAGACACAACCCGGGCTTGTAGACTGCGGTCAGAGAGCTCCGTGTGGTGGCTTGAGAGCAGCGCAGGAAGAGGCCGACTTCACACTACACCGGTGCTTTTGGGACTAGGCAATCCTGGGGTGCTGTGGACTGGCTTATGTTTCCACCGTGGTGCATTGTCAACTTTCATTAGCTGTCACTGTGAGTGTGACGGTGGCCGGCGTGGGTTAGCTGTGGTAGTGGGAGTGTGAGCAACAGGGCTGCATGCCATGGGCTGTGTGTTCCCCCTGCCAGATGCTCCTGAGAGGTCAGTAAAGGTTTGCTGCTACTCTACCCTTTTCTGTCCTGAAAGCTTTGGAAAAATCATGTCTACTTACTACTTTAACTACTACTACATTAGGACTGTTTGAGCTGGTTACTGAGAAGAGGCAGAGGTTTATAAATGCTTATCAGCAATATCTACTGAAATTGAGTTAGAACATGTCCTGTTTTCAATCAGTCTTTCTGTCGAGCTCGGTTCACTGGATTTATTACTTTGTGTACATACACAAATGTGGGTCTACAAAAATACCAAAATCTGCAAAATAAGTAAACTTTCTTTGGCCTTTTAATTGGAAGTTCAAAGCATGTGACCTGTAGTAACCTGCTCCTCCTGATGATGCACAGAAGTTCCTTGGCCATGGGAAGCTGCTCAGTTGATAATGGTGTTGACAGATCCTGTTAAAGCAGTCAGGAATGTTTAAGCTTCGGCTCCTACTGCTTGTTTCAAATTTCAAGCTGGAAGTGACACTTTTACATAATGCATATTTGCAAATCCACTCTTCATCTTGCATGCATTTCCTAAACACCACTTCACACTGAGACAAACTGAACTTAAAATATTGTGACTTGATTTAGGTCACAGGGACAGGCTGCTGACCTTTGATGTGCTCCCTCTCCTGGTGCCACCATTGCCGATCTAGTTTAGCACACACTCTATTATCCTCATGTATTTGCAGCTGTTTTGATCTCAACATTTGCATTAATCGCTTCCGGACGCTGAATAAGGCTTTGTGGTTCAAGAAGAAGAGGGAAGAAAATGGTGATTTTTTTTTATAATGTAAAAATGAATTTAATTTGTTTTTATTGTAGGACCCCCACCACAAGAGAGACCAGTTTCATTGAGAAAATGAAGAAAACTGTAAGTAAATATGCATCAGCACAGTTTTGTACTTTTTGTTATGTAATGTATTAAGTAGTATGTCTTTACATTTGCATATGGTATAACAAAATTCTGTCATAGTTGATAGATGTACGGATACATTGATTTAAAATCATCAACAGATTCACATTTCTGATGAACTGCCATAATCATAATCATACTGAATAAATATGGGCATCAGGATAATATATGATACCTTGATGTTTTCAATAGTGTGATTATGTAAAACACATTAAAATATGATTTTGACTGTGCTTTTCGTTTAAAAAAATAAAAAAGTATCTACATTTTTCTTATTTTCATATTGTTGCCATGTTGTTATATGTTTAAATGTTTGATTGAATAGAAACTCTTCGAAACAGATCGCGAGGATGAAAATTTAGATGGAGGCATGAGTTTCTCCAAGCCTCCTCTTCCTGCCCCCTTTAAGGCCAGACTCAGGAAAAGGCTTTTGTTTCCAATCATGTGGTTTTGCAGCAAATAGTTGAGATGCCACAATGAATTTGTGCTTGCGTTGCGTTTTATAAGCACAGGGACATGATACACTGGTGGTCCATCCTCTGCTTTATGCTTTTGTTTCTGGTTATATTTTTGCCAGGGCAAAAACATCATTGTATTCTACGGCTCCCAAACGGGCACAGCAGAGGAATTTGCCAACAGGCTGTCCAAAGATGCTCAACGCTACGGCATGAAAGGAATGGCAGCTGATCCAGAGGAATATGACATGGTAACTTGTTTTGCTGAAATAACATGGAAAACCACACATTTTAAGCCAGCAGACCCCTTTAGTTTGGAACGAGCATAGAGGCTTGCCATCTTTGCACTACAGTGTTGAATTGTGGTTTGCTATTATAGAACACTGACTCACTGAATGCCCTTGTGGTGAAAAAAAGTGGTTCACAAATCAAAGTTTTTCCCGTCATCCCACAGCAACAATTTCATAAAAGCCATTAAAGAAGGGTAATAAAACCTGATCAGTATTCTCTTTGTAACGTAGGGTGAGCTGTCTCGTCTGTCTGAGATCTCCAACTCTCTGGCCATATTCTGCATGGCCACTTATGGTGAAGGAGACCCCACTGACAACGCACAAGACTTCTATGACTGGCTCCAGGAAAATGATGACGAGGATCTGTCTGGGCTTAACTACACAGTGAGTTATGCAGAAGTTTAATATGTATTTTCCACTGCCTGTACATAAGGAGTAGAGTTCTTGAATTACTGCTGTGCTTTGGTTATGGTACAATCATTAAATGTAATTATTTTATGGTTAGTAAAGATGTTATAGAACAGTAATAATTATATAGTAATGATATAATGCCTTAGTGATGTAATTGCGTCATTCCTTTATTTAAAATCTACACAAACAAGTTTAGACTTATTTTCTAAGAACGCCCGGAGACCCCCTGAGAATCTTTGACTCCCCAGATTGGTAACGATTGCGCTAGAACACTCCACACACACCACAATAAATCATAATATAGTTAATGGTATTATACATTATGCAAAAATACAGTAGTAAAGTAGTATAGTAGTACAATAATAGTAGTCTCTCGCTCCAAGACTGTTGGCTCTGTGAAGTAGTTGTTTAAAGTAGAACCTCTTTTCTTTCTGTTCTTGTGTTAGTAATGCCATGTCAATATTCCAGTCTGTTGTTCCAACAGACAAGACACGGTCTGTGCAGCAATTGTACTGAACATGAAAGGAAATGCTTTGAGTGCCGTCATGGCCAGGCTTTCTGGGTTATTGTTGTTGTGCTGTGGCCCTGACCTCGATCCAGTAAAGAATATGACTGTGGGAAAATGGGCTTGGTTATCTTGTCTAAAAGACTTGAGTTTTTTTTTTTTTCTTTTAACATCTTCTCATAGCAAACATTTGTCACTCTCTTTATAGGTATTTGCCCTGGGAAATAAGACTTATGAACACTACAACGCAATGGGCAAGTATGTTGACAAAAGACTTGAAGAGCTGGGAGCCAAACGTATCTTTGACCTCGGTTTAGGAGATGACGATGGAAAGTGAGTAACTTCTTAAAACTAAAGAACAGATGCTGTAATTTCTCTTACATGTATCTACACAAATCAATTCTTTTTGTCTTTTAGCCTGGAGGAAGATTTTGTTTCATGGAGAGAACAGTTTTGGCCGGCTGTTTGTGAGCACTTTGGTGTGGAACCCTTAGGAGACGAATCAAGGTTTGTTACCAACTATTTTTATATTAACTGTTGCTTTGTAGATTAGTTGAGTCTTCACTTATAATCTCATTGAACCTAGAACCTACCTGGAAGGGGCTGTTTGTGCTTTTTGTCGTGTAATAAAATCAAATTTGTCTTGCCCTTGTAGAGATATATTATAAAACCAAATTTTAAGGTTAAAATGACATTCCTGTGTGTCTGCATGTAATTATTATAAGGCTTTATTTTCAGCAAATCAAAAAGTAAAGCTGGTGGGTAGTTAGAGTGCTAGTTTTTGTAATGTAACCATGATGACAAAGCTCAGTTCTGGCCTCTAAAAATTGTGAAAACACACTTATAAACTCAGGATGCTTTAAGTGTTGAGTGACGTACAAGTTTGACGTACACTGCAAACAGTTATAATGAACTAGTTCTGGTTTTCTTGTTGTTATGCATATTAAAAGTCACATAACGTGCCTTTTTAATATTCTAATGATGGCTAATTGCTATTCTGTCAAACAGCATTAGGCAGTATGAACTACAGGAACACACAGACATCAACATGAACAAGGTGTACACAGGAGAAATTGGCCGCCTTAAGAGTTTTGAGAATCAAAAGCCGTAAGTACTTAACAACTTCATAAGCTGTTCTCTGTTATGGTCACGCTTCATTGACGTTCACCTACTCCTGTTTTCAGACCCTTTGATTCTAAAAACCCTTTCCTTGCGCCAGTCACTGTCAATCGCAAACTCAACAAAGGCGGAGAAAGGCACCTGATGCACCTTGAACTGGACATAACAGGCTCCAAGATCAGGTGTGTGTCACAAACTGTATGTGTGTGGGTTGTACAATCAGATTGTAAACGTCTGTTCTATGGATTGTCTCATTTCAGATATGAGTCAGGAGACCATGTTGCCGTTTTCCCCACTAATGATTCCACATTAGTGAACAAACTTGGGCAAGTCCTTGGCGTTGACCTTGACGTGGTTATCTCTCTGAACAACCTTGATGGTATGTTATTGAAAGCACTAAATAACAGCTGGAGATCTTGACTTCTCACAGGATCTAAACATAAATCACTGGCCCTGGACAAACAACCCTCAAGTTTAATACTGCTCTGATTAATTGTTGACAACTTGATATCATATTATGTCGTTAACAATTAACAATAACAATATATATTGCATTCTTGTGTTACTAATTTAAAAGCGAATTCTTCTTTATTTTATTTTTGCAGAGGAATCCAACAAGAAGCACCCTTTCCCTTGTCCCACTACTTATCGCACTGCCTTAACTCACTACCTGGACATTACAAACCCACCTCGCACCAATGTTCTTTATGAATTGGCACAGTATGCCTCTGACCCGAAAGACCAAGAAAATATGCGCAAGATGGCCTCCTCCTCCCCTGAAGGCAAAGTCAGTAAAAGTAGAATAGAAAGCACTGTCTTTTCAGTTGGTTATATTACTCACTAGTACTAAAGTAAAACTCAATATTTTGCTCTTGACAGGCTCTTTACCAGAGTTGGGTGTTGGATGCCTGTAGAAATATTTTGGCCATTCTGGAAGATATGCCATCTTTAAGGCCTCCCATTGACCACTTGTGTGAGCTGTTACCCCGTCTACAAGCTCGTTACTACTCCATTGCTTCTTCCTCCAAGGTAATTACATCTATAATTACAATAGGAATAAGACAATAATAAGTCATGTTTCATTTTAAATAAATTGAAAGTGTTTTTTATTTTAATGTTTTTTAATGTCGACATATGTTGTGCTTCGTTGTAGGTTCACCCCAACAGCATTCACATCTGTGCTGTAGTGGTGGAGTATAAGACAAAGACTGGACGCACCAATAGGGGTGTTGCCACAAACTGGTTGAAGAACAAACTGATCACTGACAATGGTCATAAGTCCACTGTCCCCATGTACATCCGCAAGTCACAGTTCCGCCTGCCATTCAAACCCACAAACCCAGTCATCATGATTGGACCTGGCACAGGAATTGCACCATTTATGGGCTTCATCCAGGAAAGAGGGTGGCTCAAACAACAAGGTTTGTTTTTATTTTAAACAATTTTTTTCCTCAAAGACAACCTTATTATTGAATTTAACCTTCTAAAAACAATTTGAATCTTATCAAAGGAAATACTCTCCACCAGAAAAGTTATATATTGCACCTGAACTCAACTCTTATATATTTCATTGTTACTAAAGCAAACTATAATTTTCTTTTTACAGGGAAAGAAGTTGGCGAGACTGCCATGTATTTTGGTTGCAGACATAAAAATGAAGATTACCTTTATCAAGAAGAACTAGAGGAAGCCGAGCGCAGTGGCGTACTTACACAGCTGCATGTCGCCTTTTCAAGAGACCAGGAGCATAAGGTTGGTTTTTCCACAGTTCTGCTCTATAATATTGTTTAAATTTACATTTTTTTGTCATTTTGAATGAATAATCTGAGTATCTTTTATTTGCTCTGAAGGTATATGTTCAACATCTCATTAAGCAGAATAAAGAGAACATTTGGAAGCTGGTTCATACAGACAATGCTCACATCTATGTTTGCGGGTAAATAAGTGTTTGTTAATAATTCCTACAATGTTTGTTACTTTAGATGCAGTGTTTATATTGTGGTTAATTATTTTGCCAATTTGAACTATTTTTTAAAACATGTTTTATCTTTTAGGGATGCAAGAAACATGGCTAAAGATGTGCAGACAGCCTTTTATGAGATTGCAGAAGAATTTGGAGGAATGACACGTACTCAGGCCACAGATTACATTAAGAAACTGATGACCAAGGGACGCTACTCACAAGATGTTTGGAGCTAGAGTCTCCAATCTAGCTGTCATGTCACTACTACTATTTTTAAATCATGTATCTTGTTTTAACTTGGACTGAATATAAAACACGTATATGCCTCATGTTATAGAGCCGATGCAGTGACGTACTCTCTTGTCTACACTTATAGCTGGTCCATAAGCATTATCCACTTGTAAGCTCCAAAGTTGGGAGAATGACAAGTATTGTTGGTTACTTAAAAATGGTTTAATAGATGAATGCATTTAACGTATTTCACTGAATGAATTACACTCTTTATTCCTCCCTATAATCTCCAATAATTTAATACATTTTATTACCTAAAATATTCAGCCCGTCAGTTCATAGAACACACAGTGACACAGTAGGTACTGTTGGCATGTACAAGTAAGACCTGTGTTTGTGCATCCCTGTTCAATGCAATGCCATGTAGGGAGTCACATTTTACACTGTGTCCCACTCATTGTTCTGTGATAAAGTGCATTCCATGTCTAGTGTGTGTGAAATGTACTATTTGGTGCAAAGATGGGCTGCATAGGTACAAAAAATATGAATCTTTGTATTTTAACAAGGGTTCTTTTTGCCTTTTATGCATATGTTGCTGATGTTTAAATCAAAACCAGTAGCATTTTGAAAGGCACAAAATAATTTGATGCAAAGGGGAAAATATGAGAGGATGTCTGCATTTTGTCATGCCTGTCCTTTTGATAGAATGTGATAAAATATCTTGGTATATATATATCATGTATGGTATTTCTTTATCATTTTTAGACTTAATTCAGTCCCTATGAATGTTTTATATGCATTTGTGCAGTAACTCAACATGGCAATAATCTTTGAAATGCCTTTTTTTATCTTCAATCTGCAATTATTTTATTATGCAGCAATATTGCAAATTATATTAGAAAGCAAACGTGCCAGATTTCAAAACTGACCTTGCTTCAGAATTTTCTTGTCATTTTGGATTACATAATGAAGTGTGTGCCTTGTTTAACTGCCTTATGTATTATATATGTAATAAACCACAATGCTTCATTTTCTTAGTTTTTTGTTAATATCTTGACACTAATTGCGATATATTATGGGATTTCTTTTTATCTGTTGTAATTATTTGTGTCTCAACTTTTTTTTAAATTAATAACCATAATAAAAGTATAATAATTTAATAATACTCAGTTTTACAAAGTATTATTATATAGTCCGTTTTACAAACTCTTTACTTGTTACATTTTACTAGTATGTTGTCGTGCCATTACCAGTAGGCGGCGCTGCTGAGCTGTCTGGTCTGGAGTTGAATATAATAAAGCGCAGAAGCGCCGCAGTGCGGAAGTGCTTCTGAGCAGCGCTCGTGGACGCGGCCTGGTTTTGTGGGGCTGCGTTTATGTCTTTGGGGTTTTTAATCGACTAATCAAAGGACATATTAGTTGTTTTTTTTAAAGAATTAAAACGTTGTGAAGGATGTCTGCGGGTAAGTCTGTCTTCGTGTTCACATGTTTGTTTATTTTGTTCAGATTTGAAACTAGGTCACTAGCATTGTAGCTAAAGTCACTGCTAACCTCGAGGCCGGAATGAGCCAGATTTAGCGATATTCTGTGTCACACATGGAAGATAGTAGCTAACAAATCAAGCAAAACGCATTTTTTACAATGTTATTTTTGTTTTTTGGCCAACTAAATACCGCTACCATTTTGTTTCTACAATAGTTTTGGAAAAATCTTTTGGGCGGTGCAGGTTTCCCGGAACGGCCTCTTTGTTTATGCCGTATTCACTTACATTGCCCATGTCGACAGAAATGTAGTTTTATTCTTCGAGAGTTTTTGCAAATGACCGTATATTTACCTGATCTGGTAAATGCATTATATTATGTTGTCTAAAAGTGTTCGTTTTGCTATGGGCAGTCTGAAGGCAAAGTCTCCACCAAAGGCTCAAAAATAAGCGCCATTTTCAGCGCAGTGGCTACAGGCCCGATTCTCCCCGTTGAACATAACAATGCACACTGCATCACGCCACAAGTACCTAATTATTGCAACGACGGGACAAAGCAAAGAAGACAAATGATACATTTTCTCATGTTTTACAGATTCGGGGTACGGCCAGCAAGGCGGTCCACAAAGGTAAAACTAATATTTATATATTCCGTGCACTAAATACTTTATTTTAGACAATTCTTTAATTCAATGCATTTCTCTCATAGCTATGGATCTTATGGTGGACAGCCTGCAGGCGGTCAGGTAAGGAATACATTTTTCAATTGAATATGCAAATCATTTACCTTGCATACTAAGGTGTAAACCTTTTAGGGATATGGGCAAGGAAACGGCACTGGCTCATATGGAGCACAACCTTACAGTGGCTATGGTCAGCAAGCTGCAACTCAAGGTATATAATTGAATTCTCATAGTTATGTAGAAGAGAATGCACATAGATGTGAAATAACATTCATTAAATCTTTTCAGAAAATTATGGGCAGTCTAATGTGAGTGGCTATGGTCAGCAACAGACTGCCTATGAAGGATATGGACAGGACACATCTGCGTAAGCCTTTTTTTTTTTTTTTTTTTTTACAATTTTACTTGTCCACTTTTTGTTATGGGTTTTAATGAATGTTCTCATTAAACTGTGCTTAAAAATCACACTTGACCTACTATTTGTTAAATTTTTCTATTCCTAGGTATGGAGACAAGTCTTCTTCCTATGGCCAACAATCTTCAGGGTCTTATGGCCAGCAAGCTTCATATGGGCAGCAGCCACCAGCAGTTTCCTATGGCCAGCCAGGCTCTTATGGCAGTCAGAGTCAAGGAGGAGACTCTTATGGAAGCCAAGGTGGTGGCACCAGTGGTAGCTACGGAGGCCAGAGTCAAGGAGGAAGTGGAGGAAGCAGCAGCAGCAGCAGTGGTGGTGGTGGCGGCTATGGAAGATGGAATGACGGTACAAATGTTTTCACATTAAAATATAATAAAATTGTCTAAAATGCACCTTCTTTGAAATGTGTGGTGTTTTTGTTTTTTTAAATTTAGGTGAAGACAGTGGTCAAGGTGGGAGGTTTGGTGACCGATCAGAAGGAGGCGGGTACAGAGGCAGAGGGCGTGGTGGCTATGATCGCGGCGGTGGTTATGACCGCAGTGGGGGGTACGACCGCGGAGGTGGAGGAGGCTACGATCGCAGTGGTGGCTTTGACCGTGGCGGATACGACCGGGGTGGAAGAGGAGGACCTCCTGGTATGGGGTAAGTTGCAGAGTGCCACTGCCCCCAAGGTATTTTGATACATTTGCAAAATCACACCTGTTCTGCAACGTGCCATCTCACAGTTTTCATCCCTGTGACCCATTTTGCTGCGCATTCACCAGATTTCCCCTCATGTCAAAGCTGACCACTACCACCACCATGATTCAGAATTCTTAAGTGAAGTTTGATTTGATTTACTTTTTTAACACTTCACAGCATCTACACAAATCTGACCACCTTTTTGGTCAAGAGATGAACATGCCTCTGCTGTTCCCTGTTGGTGTACAAAAATTTAAGCCATATCAGCGGTACTTTATTCCCCTGATAAGCCTATGTAATCACTTCCTCTGACATGTGTACGGTAATATAAATTTTTTTTTTTCTAAAGTAGAATGTTTTTTTTTTTTTCTTTTGACTATTGGCGATCATTTTTATACTTATGTGGCTTGTTCATTGTGTACTTTCTTGCCACAATAATTGAGCTGGTAAGCATGAGGGCTTTCCCTCCACCCACCCTCCCTTCACAATGTTCTTTGAAATCCAAAAGGCACACCTTCAGTTGCGTAGCATTTAGTTTTCATTCAAATGCTGTATCTTTTCAAAGTGACAAACATGTGTGATGTGTTTTAACATAGATGTACATTTTACACCACAGGTATTCAGAGTGATTGGACTTTAACTTGGACTCGAGTTAAAGGATCTCAAACACTCTCAGTGGAAGATTGCACCCATTTATAATATTGGCATAACATAAAATATTAATGACATTTATTGAGAATTTATTGGTATTAAATCTGGACTCCAAAACTTGTAAATGTTGACCCACTGACTTGTGATCGTCTGCCTGAATTTTCAGACAGCTCTGACTCTACCTGGCTGTTCATTTATCTGTATTGTGAAAGACTAATGCATTCCTCGAGACATTTCCACTATAGTTGCAAACTCCGGCAGGAGTGCATACTGGTGGGGATGTAGGGGAGCTATGTGCTCTCATTTGGGACAAAGGAAAAGCCATCAAATATCTCCAATTTTTCCTCTGCAGAGGTGGTGACCGTGGTGGCTACAAAAATTTCGGTGGTAAGTGATGAGCATCAGAACTGTGTCGGTGGGGGAGTCAAGAGTTCAGATAGAAGATAGAAGATAGGAGGTTTAAAAGAGCTCACCATTTTATACCCACATCCGAAGGGATATAAATTATAACAGAAAATAGCCCTGTGAAATGGTATCAGAACGAACTGAGGCACAATAATGGTATTGCATGGAGACATGGGTAAATGGTCAAAGGTACAAAGTGTTCCAGGTAACAATCTAATGTTGGAAACCTTTTGGTGGTTGACATCCTGGTAAAAGCTCAAACATGCTGTTGGTATGTGTTGCATTGGTATGAACACTCATCAGAAAGCTCCAGTAGATTGGTATTATGTATTGGTAGGGATTATGGCAATATGATTACATTTGTTTAAATATTACAATGCCTATGAAAAATATTCTTTCTTAAAATCTATTTCTTCCCATCATTTGTTTTCCCAGGATCTCGAGACTACGGCTCCAGGGATGAACCAGGTAAAATGGCTTTTGAGAAAATTTTGTTTTAATTTCACGCTTAACTGTTTCATTATGTGCCTAATGGGTTTCTGTGTTTTACAGCTGGTGAGCAGGATAACTCTGACAACAACACAATCTTTGTACAAGGACTGGGGGAGGATGTGTCGGTTCAGGAAGTTGCAGACTACTTCAAACAAATTGGAGTTATCAAGGTGTGTAACTGGAAAGCTTTGTGTAATGCATATTCTGTGATCTATTTATTATATGATCTGAACTATTTTTTTCCTTCTCATTCTTCTGACATTGGTTTCAGGTGAATAAGAAACTGGCCTGCCTATGATCAACATCTACAACGATAAGGTCACTGGTCGTCCAAAGGGAGAAGCAACAGTGTCGTTCGATGACCCTCCTTCTGCCAAAGCTGCCATTGACTGGTTTGACGGTGAGATTATTGTTACATTTGGAGTTTCTCTTCATTATGTTTATATATATATATATAAACATACTTTTTTTTACTTTGTTACAGGTAAAGACTTCAATGGCAAACCCCTCAAAGTTTCTTTTGCAACCCGGAGAGCTGAGTTCACCCAACGTGGTGGCGGCAGAGGCGGACGTGGAGGTGAAAACTTCATGAACGAAGGCAGATTCTTTGTACTGTATTCTGATGACTAATAACCATCTTTAATACTGCCAGGTTTCAGAGGTCGTGGGGGTGGTGGTCCCAACTTTGATATTAAAGGAGGTGACTGGCCCTGTCCAAACAGGTATGTGTCTGTCATTTATTTTTAGTATTTTATTGTTACTGAAAAAATGCCTTACCCTAGAGATGAGTTTTACATCTCTGCTAGAAAAGCATGTTTAATTTGAAATCTTCTTTCATTTCAGTTCTTGCGGCAACATGAATTTTGCTCGGCGGCATGAGTGTAATAAGTGTGGCGCGCCCAAACCTGATGGTGGTGGAGGTAGGTCTATAATTTACTCACATCTCTCCCTCTTCATTGTGAAATTGTCAAAGATGTTTACAGCGATTGTCCTTTATAGGCAGGGGTGGCTTTGGCGGAGACCGAGGTGGCGGCTACAGAGGACGAGGTGGAGGTTTCCGTGGTGACCGTGGAGGCTATGAAAGGGGAGGTGGTGGATATGGAGGTGGTTACAAAATGGGAGGAAGGTTTGTATCAGATATTTACAGAATATAGTTTTTAATCTGCATTATAAAATGTGGGCCACTAGATGGAGACATGTAGCACTTGATAAAAGGCTACAACTTGAGTGTCAATTATGCCCTTTACAAGGTCACATTGTCCTGTGCACCTGTTTGCAAAGCACTCTTAAGTTCATCATGCGTGTTTGTGAATGAAAAACACTTAACAGTAATTTATGACCACAATTTACTGATTCTCAAGTTACAAGGAATGCTTTGATAAGAAAATGAATATCTGTACCCGAGAGCCTTTGCCCACTGCATTTACTTTAATGCTAAAGGTGCCCTCAAACTGCTGGTAACTGACATTTATCGTGTCTTTCAGAGGTGACCGTAGAGATGACAGACGAGACCGGCCATACTGAACGTGTTGAGAATTGATGCCATTTTAGCTCTTGGGTTTTGTTTTAAGTCAGAAAAACATCAAATACAACTGATTTGTGTACCTTTGTCATAGCCAGTCCATCTCAATGTTGTAAACATCAGTCAATGTTGTGATGAACTGCTGTGAGAGGTCTCTGGACAATGTTAACTTTTTTTTGTTTTATTTCATTGTACATCTTTTAATTTTGCAGATCCTAGTTGCATTTCTGTGTAATAGGCCTTGCATTGTTTTGTATGAAAGCTTGTTTTATGTGGTTCTTTTCCAAAATGATATTAAACTGTGATTTTTTTTTCTCGTCGTTTGTGTTATTGGTTCTTGAGACTGCAGTATCCACTGTATTGTAGGTGAATTGGTAATAAAAATAGTGCAAGGTAACACTGGTAAATAATTTCACGGCCAAAGAAACCAATTACCAGTATGATTGTTTTGTTATCCAGAATACACACTACTTAAATACAGAGAGGTATCATTGTGGATTTGGTAATTGGGGAAAAACGTTCATTCCTCTAATTGTTCCCAGACAATGATGCTGTTGAGTTTGTAATGCTGCCATACATATTTAAGCACACTTGTAGGGGTGTGTTTCACCTCCAGTTGGCGCGGGTGTCCTAAGAGGGGCGGTGCAGGTCTTCCTCCTGTAAACACCGCTAAATGTGCGCGTCAGTGCTGTGGATGGAGCTGTCAGGCGAGCAGCAGCATGCTCTCTGACAGCGACTAAAACAAACTATGGAAAACTAGCAGCGGACAGAAATGCTATGTTCTGGGAGTGGAGTGCGCGTGATTTTGAGGCTGTCCCGAGATGAGACGTGGACCTCCGGACCGGAGCGCAGGCGGCGGACAGGCGCTCTGGGTCCTGTCTGTGACCGCGCTGCTGACCGCCGGGGCCGCTGTAGGCTCACCGCTGGACCCTGAGGTGAGAAGTTTTACTTTCGCAGATAATCTTTAGTTCTGCATCATGTTTAGTCTCCATGAAAGATATTGGGTGTAAATGGCAGATATGTATTAATTTCCTAAAGGCACTATTACCACGCGCCTCTCCTCCCCTCCCTGACCCTCAGATTTACTGATTTAGGCCTAATTGATTGAAGGCTAATGTTCATTATATTTCTAGCCCAGGATTAAATATCTTAGCTGTTAAACGCCGTTTGATTCCCTCTTGAGCATTGCATGTTTTCATGACAATGGTAGGCTACAGCTCAGTCACAATCTATATGATCAGTATTTGCCTTGATAAAATCTGCCATCTCTTTATTGTTATCTGTATAATTTCACTATTGTCTCTACACAGCAAACCCACAATAGCTATAACCATTCTATCTATCCTTCCATCTTTGTTTTCACATGGGCAGCATTTTCAATTTACATAACTTTAGGCTACATTACAATTTTATAGCTTCAATAAATGTCTTACTAAATTATACCTGTGTATTTGGGATTCCCCAAACTTACTGTCATGTGTGGTCTTATACATTGCATCAAATACATTACAATATGCTACAAATGGATAATTACACTTTATGGAGCCGTGCTTTCAGGTGGTCGTTTTACACACACCCTATAAACTCTTGGTGGGCTCATCTTATAAAAGTAACATGGTTTAAACAGATACTCAATCTGGAAATGCAGTGCCAACCATAAAATGTAGCTTGTAGATAACTGGATTGAACACTGATATGCGTTAAATGTTGCAGGTTTTTCTGGAAAAGTATGGCTACCTCCATGAAGACAGCCACATTCATAATGCTCTTGAGATGCAGTCTGCCGTTCGGTAAGAGACTGTAACTGTATTGTTATAGAGCATATTATAAGTGATGAACTTGTGTGTTTCATATGGATGTGGTTGAGTTCTCAGTGCGACTGTAGTTGCTTCAGGGGGTGACTGTCAGGGCAGTCAGACACGCCCTTACCTCAATACCTCAACTGAACTTACAGAACATTTACGTACATCAAATATAACAGAACAGAAATGAACCAGAAAAAGTGAATGTATTGCTTTTTTCAAATCCTGCTATGTCTTCTTCATCTTAAACAAGTCGAAATAGGAGAATGTTTTATAATAACATTGGTATGATTGGAATAGTTTTTGCTTGTTGCTTGCAGGGAGTTCCAGTGGCTGTCCCGTCTTCCCATCACTGGCAGACTGGACAGCGCCACCTTGAGGCAGATGGCTGAGCCCCGTTGTGGAGTCTCTGATGAGGGCAGTCACCAGGTCTGGGCTCAGAGAATCAACACTGTTTTCACTGGGAAAAGAGCCAAATTGGGGAAGGAAAATCGCAGAAAACGCTCTGCTACTCAAGGTATTGTTTTGCCATACCAAGACATGACCACACTTATTTTGGTTTGGTACGGTGAAGTAGTAAAGTGAGTTAGCTGGGAGGGTCCACCTTGAAAATAAAGCCTAAGGGTGCAATTACAGTTGGCGGAGTGTCTGATGTTGCACACTTCAGCCTGAGATAATTACCATTCTGAGACACTTACAGTCTATTAGGCTTGTATATCTTGTTGCTTACTGTTAACCCAAATTCAAACTTAAGGTGTGTTTCCACTTCTGATTTGGTCCCGGTTTGGTCAATTTTAGTCCTGATGTAGACTTAGGTTGGTCCCAGTTTAATTCCAATCTTAGGTGACGTTTGTGCAAGTGTGAATGCATTCTTTCTCTCTTTAATAAGTTTTAGTTTTCTCCAATATACAATAAATACTAGTGGTCTCTATTCTAAAATGTTAAGATGTCAATGGACACTTTTCATGTCTTGTTTAGACCAGTGATTGCCAGCCATTAATGTTGCAGCTGCACACTTGAGTTTGAAGTCAATTATCCGGCTTTTCCTTTGATGGTGAAATATACAAAGCATAAATGGTGCAATTCAATATGGCTAAAGATGCCTGAATTGAAAGCATTTAGCATTAAGTGCTGCTAAATTTCTTGCAGACCTACAGTGAAATCATGAAGTAAATGTTTTGTAGTAAATGAAAGCTGCACCATATAACCTTTCTGGTGTTTGGTCTGCCTCCATAGAGATGTAATTACTTTCCCATGAATGTTGCACAGTATAGTATTAAACTCATCTATTTTTATATGTAAATTTCCAGCTGTTTTGCTAAAAATTCTCTACTGTGAGCAGGTTCAGCGTTCAGTAGATCTGACTTGTACTTGGCCTGGTGGCATCACTTTCTTGGAGAGAGATAACTTCAGTGCCATACTGTGTAACTTTCTAGGTACATATAGAGATGCACCCATCCAGGTTTTTCTGTTTTGATGCCAATGTCAATATTTTGGTTGAAGTCTGCCCTACAAAGGCAGAACACCGTAACATCATGTTTGATCAAAAATTAGTCATTTTGGGGGTATTTGAGACTAGCCTGATTCATCAGCCAGTTTCACTTTGTTGATACCGTCTGACCTTGCAGCATTAGGATTTGTTCGCTCGAAGGTAGACAGGTATTTTTTTTATTTGACCAATCGCTACTATTTGGTCGTGACATATGTAATGTGCAGCTAATGGGAATAATTGGTATATTAAGCTTTTCTCAATATTTCATATTATTCATATTTCACAATAAATATTGTGAGCCAATTTGATTGCTTTAATAAGACAATATGACAACCGTAACATCCAAAACCATACAAGAAACCACAGCTTTGAAACTCTGAAGTAATTTTTCTCAGTTTCACACTCTGTTGAGTTATGGCCTTTTGCCTTTGTAGGGCAGAACTGATACCCATTATCAACCGATCCTATGGCAGAGAAAATATAATATACAGTATTTCCTTTAGACGTTTTGGACCAACATTGGCCAGTAAATAATCTCATTACACCAGTTATAGATTAAATGGTATATCAGCTGAAGTTGGAAGCCAATATGTGATCAGTTTTCAATATTGGCACTGATATTCGATACCAGTATCATATCAGTGCATCCCTACCAATAACATTTAACGTTTTACTCTCCTCTAAGGGACTGAGTAAATTATCTCTCTGTCTCTTTTATAATACCAGAATTTGGACAGTAATTTTTTATAACAACAATACTTAACTTTAATCAGTTAATCAGTGCTTTAATATTTTAGTCACTTTAACCCTATTACTCTTGTGGATGTTTTCTGTATTTTTGTTAGATTTTTACACTAAAGTTTGTTTTGTTTTTTCCGCTGCTCTCATCCATCACCTGTCTTGTCAGAGTAGCAGTGGCTGGAGCTCTCACTGCCTCCAGCCCCTCAGCACTTGTAGTCTTTACATTCCTGTGACAGTGTTGGCTAATGGTTTGGGAATGCAGCAGCAGTGGCCCTTGTTTGCTGCTGCCCCTTCATGTCGGTACCTGAAATATTCCTCCTGCTCAACACATCCACTACCGACTGACTGGATTACGCTGTTAGCCACGGGATGATGATCTGAATAGGCCACTATCATACAAACTAAAGAGGTGGTTAAGTTGCCGAGTGATAGAGCCGTCCTTGGATTACAGCTTGTCGTCGTGTTAGAAAACAACTACTATTATTGAAGTTCTAGACGTGACTCATGAAGATAATAGCAGATACATGTACAGCCTTAGGTCTAACCCCTGGGTGTAGTTTGAGAATGTAATATGTTTTAAAACTGCATGGAAGGGCTTTAATGTGTCTGCAGTCTACACAAATTTTCCATTGTGGTGTATATGGTAACACAGTGAGCCCGGGGCTATGAGAAGACCAAATGCATCAGCCTCATGTTTGGATAAGACAACTTGTAATTCACGCACACACCTGGTTTATCAGCACCCAGTGTATTCCACAGACAAAAATCCCCTAAATAAATGACTATGATTACAGCTGTATTTGAATAGATGTTGTGACATTGTAAAATGTATTTATAAAGGACCTTCCGACCAGTTGTTTCCTATACTAAGAATGTACAGTGATTATATGTCAGTGATGGGGCAAGGAAGAAAGAATTACGTTGATTTTCTAGGAGTATTAGCATTTGAGAGGAGACTGAAATATGAACAGACTCTTTGTAGAGGTGTAAACTACAGGTACAGGATTTTCTGTAAAACAAGATAATTTGTTCTTTGCAGAGAGGACATTTTATTATCTAAATAATTACAGCCTTTCTGATATGATAATTCTACTAACAAATTACGATTGTGATTAGATTGCAATATATTGTGAAGCCCTAGACAGTTTGTGGCTCGTGAACAGAAATTTGGGGGCCCGGGGCAGGAAGCCTCATATGGGCCTCCCTTTAATATAAATTAACAGAAAGAGTTTCCAGTTCTGGTCCCCTAAAACCCTGTGGCCCGGGACAACAGACCCCTTTGTCCCCCTCTTTGTCTACTGCCCTGATATTTGGTACCATTATTGTGTACTACCGTTGTGTTTTTTGATAAGACTCAAAATGTATTTGCCTAATACAATTGTAGCATTTTCAGAAGCTTGAAAATTATAATTCAATCACAACATGGTATATAATTAGCCTATTTACTTTACCTTAGGCCAAATGCATGAGTGTCATAATTGATTGTTTTGTTATTTATGAACACACCGGATTTATCGGCTCTACCTAGGCCTATGGAAATGCTAATGGAAACCCCGTCTTTTGGCTTTTTCAGAGCCTACTTACAGTATATATGTATGTATAGATATCATTCTGTGTATCTCTGTCGACCCTTATAACTAAATACATTTTTCTTTGGGCGTTTTGTCCTTGTACCACAGGTGTTAGTACTGATGAGATGAGCGCCTTCTCTCAGCTATAGAATTGATGATGTGATTTTTGGGATGTTTGCTCTGAACTCTGCTGTCTGTCTGAGCTTCTCACAGCCAAATGAAAACAGACCTTGACTCATGGTGCTCCTGGTAGTTGCTCCCGGTGATATTTGCAGAGCTGAAATTCCATTGCCCTTGTAGGAGATAAGTGCAGTGGGAGCAGTTAGGTGTGTGTGTTGTGAGGTGTGTGCACTGCCTAGTCTTATGGGTTTACAGCAGGAAAAGGCAGTCCATAGGTCACTTACATAACGCTAACAATACTCTTATCAGTTACTTATTATTCTACATTTTCTCTTTGATAAATGTGGTCCTGACTCCTGACTTTCCTTGGGTAGAGAGATTGAGAAGTGAATGCAGTACAGGTTTTGCTGATACAGTGCCCCAAACCACTAAATTACATTGTAAATACACACAGCTTAACTAGAGCAATAAAGCATGACGAAATCTCATTCCATTTTGGTTTCACATTTGATTGCTCAAATGGAATTTAATATAATTTATTGACTACTTCCAGATTCCAGCTAACCAGGGTTGACTTCTTGACTACAATAACAGATAACAATTTCTAATCAATACTTAATTTGCACTGCATGTTTTGAACAGAATTCAAAAGAATTCACTTTGGAGAGACAACTAAAACATGAACAGCTAAAGGTCTAAACAAGTTTTCTGCTCATGGTTCTTATTGTATCTTAGCTTTGGAATTATTTAATTGTTATAAATTGTTCATTTTAATTGTGATTCATTTTATTGCCCTTCTACTAACTTGGTGGCTCTAAATGCTTTTGAGTAATAGGATAAAAAAATGTATCACAATCAAAACAAAACACTTATGCTTTAAACATGACTGAATCCAGGCACTCCAAAGAAGTAAAAATTGCATTAGTAAAAATATAGTTAAAAGACCTTTACTAAGATGGCCAAAGCCAACATGTTTTGACCCAACTGGTCTTCATCAGGGCTTAGTTGCAAACACTTATGCTGCCTAATTTGTAACAGAAATGAATTAACAAAGATGTATGATTTTGAACACACTGGGACTATACATTACAAAGCACAAGATTTGGACTGACATACCAGACTGTTCTTCCTCATGATAGCGAAGATGAAAGAGCCTCTCCCAGAGCTGAACCTCATCTCTGACACCAGCCAACAAAACAAACAATAAGTGCGTCTATCTGATGATCGGCTCCACTTCCGAATGTCTGCGATATCTCTGCCTCTCTGCTCTATTCACATTATGGGCACCACGTTAATGACTTCCACAGGGGAAGTGGTGGAATGTCGCGAGTGTCTGACTTCCTGGCTTCTCCTCTGTCCCCAGGGACCTCTTATACTGAGCAGACTGGGTCATACTTAAGGCGCCAAGTGTAGGGTCTGCTGGGGCTACATGGTTTTGGGGAAAAGAAACAAACAAACAAAAAAAATTGCTGTTTCGCATACTGGGATATACATTTTATGTTGCATGAACATTTAATTGAAGACTTAAATTCCTAAACAAGAATACAAGAATCCTAGAATTTTGTTTTCCCTCCATATAAGTTTATTTTGTTGATTCTATAACTCACTAAATTACATCTGTTGCTATCTGATATGGCTACAATTCAAATTGAGATTTTGGTTGTGATTAATTGTGCAGCCTTAGATTACATTTCTCCAGCTCGTGTGGCAATAAAGTCACCTGGGAATGAACCTACGCCTCACTAACTCTCGTGGAAAATGGGGTCTATAATGGCAGCCTCCACTCATAAGGTGAAATACTAACTCTTGTTTTCCTCTAATTGACCGCACTGCACTAAGTGTTGCAGTCTCCAGGCGTTTCCACTCCATCTATCATAAGTTCATGTGAAACATTGCAACATAAATACCAAGAATTATGTCCTCTGTGCACACACTTTAAGAGTTGTGTTGACTTGCATCAGTTCTGTTTACACTGTAAAACACACACTGATGTCATTGCCAAGCCCACAGCCTAATGGGCTGAGATATCCAGATATTTAGTATTTCCTCAGGGTGCTGTAGACTGTAAAGGAGCCGCACTGAAGAATGTGTAATATGTTCATATAAGGACAGGCAATGTATCAGTCCCAGTGTTGGTGTTGGTGCAGTTGGAGAGTTTTCTCAGATATCGGTATTGCGTTCATGTTTTGCTCATATATTTTTTATGCATGCCCCAGTCTCTGTGTGCCTTTGTGACATTTTTACTTTGTCATCATTTTTTTAAATCTGAGATAAATAAAATTCCTTTGAATTTCATTTGTGCATTTTTGCTACAACAACATAAATTTGTGGGTCTTGCTAACAATTCTTAATATGCATAATATGCAGATTGGCAGATTTGCCACCTGCCTATTTCCATGGGCATGGTGTTGCGTTGCCTGGAATGTTTCTCAGTAAGGCATAGAACTTATGTATCGTCCATTTATTCAGTTACTGATGTTTTTATTGCTTTAGCAGGACTGCTTTGCCAGAGATCTGACCTGTAACTTGGTCTCGTGGCTTCAACTGCTCATCTCCATGAACACAGATTTAATACCATAAGAAATAACATCCACATTGCGACAAGCAGGATACAGGCCTTCCACCAGATAAGTTATGTAATGTTCCACCAGTTGTAGTGCTTGTTGATCTGTGTATAACTAAATCTATGCCTAGCTGTGCAGGGCTCCTGTTCCTGCATTAGTTGAGCTGTGCCTCTGAGGTCCCTTATCTAATGATGGTTTCCTACACAACTGGCTCTCCGTCTGCTCCATGTGTGCACCTCTGTTCCCCTCTTACACTCCTGATCCTGTGTATGCAAAGAGATTACAGCAGTGCCAAATCAAGACCAGCTGAATGTAGCACCCCTCAACTAATGAGAGATTTGTATGGGAACAGCTCATGTAATTATGCTTAAGCTGAGAAGCCGCAGACACGCGTTGAAGTAAACTGTTTAGTCAAGGGTACTTTGAGAGCTTATTTGTTTACCCAGGGTAAGTCTATGTGGTTAAGGGCATCCTATCATTTTAGTCCTGCTCCTGGATATAACACACTGTACTTCAACACATCTTGGCTACACCTCGGACTAGTAACATCCGAGTTTATAATCCAAGAGATGGAGGATGTAAACACAAGGTTCTACATGAGTGCAATAATAATCAATTGGTGTTTGCTGAGGAATTCACATGCTTAGTGTAATTAATGTAGTGCAAGGCCTTACAATAATGTATTTTATTTTATTACTATTCTCAGCACTTTTAAGATGAATGTTGTCATACTACGTAGGTCGAAAACATATGACTAGGCACATGACTTGTGTTAAATGCTCATTTGCCGGGGTGGATTTTAAGATTGAATCAAGAAGTTCATTAGGACCACAGTGAACTAGTTTAAATCATGGCTTGCTGACTGGACTGTGAGTCTTGACTTGGAGTTCTCTTGAAGTATTTGGAGGAAGTGTCTAGGGAAAGGGGGTCTAGCACTTTGAGAACTGACAGTTGTTTAAGTAGGTTATAGATTAAGGAGAACATATTATGCTTTTTCAGTTACTTAGTATTGAACTATAAAATCTGCAACTTTTTGTTCATGGTAAACCACAAGATTAAAATGGCTTAATAATTAGGGGTATTATAATTAGGGACAAGATCTTGTGCCACAGGATCTCACTAGACAAAACTGCCACAAGACTGTGATGATTTTGTGAGATATTTTTCCACGTAATTTGGACTGGACCAAAAACGGGTTACGTGCTGGTGAGTTAATTTTAGTTTCTTGAGATGCTGTAGTTCCAAAAAGCAGTGCTACAGTGACGAAAATCTTAAATTCCATGTTTATATTTTATGGAAAATTGTCTTCATTACCTTTCAGATCAGGAAGTGTATTTTTATTAACACATATCCCTTAAAGGTGCACTGTGTAACTTTTCTGGTCAAGGGACTACATCTTCTTATCTCCACGGTGATGCTGTTGCTTTGCCTGGAATGTTCCACAGTATGGCTTTAAACATATTTACCTTATTTCACAAAAATTACCACTGAAACATGCATTATTACTGTGTGCCCACTTATCTCCATAGGGATATTTAAATTGAATACCATATTATAGTGTAAAAAATTCCAGGAACCAACAATAACATCTACATGGAGTCAAGCAGGTGGCAGAAAAGCCACACACTGCTCCTTTAATCTCACATGCCTTCTTTACTATTTTCACAGCTGAGAAGTGGTACAAGCGTCACCTCACCTACCAGATTGTGAACTGGCCTCGACACCTGTCCCCGGGCTCAGTGCGGCTGGCTGTGCGGGCGGCCTTCCAGCTCTGGAGCAACGTATCAGGTCTGATGTTCCAAGAGTCGCCTAAAGGGGCAGTGGCGGACATCCGACTAGCCTTCTATGATGGGGACCACAATGACGGAGCCAGCAACGCCTTTGACGGACCAGGTCAGGCCCAGGTCTAGTGCAGGGTCAAGGCTGCAAGGGTGCAAGGGTGCAAGGGTGCAAGGGTGAAAGGTGAAGGGTGCAAGGGTGAAGGGTGCAAGGGTGAAGAGTAGAAGGGTGCTGACAGAAGCTCATTTTGGAACACAAAAATGCATGGCTGCCTATGGGTGCGATGACTGTTTTGTGTGACTCACTCCAGCTGGAACCTGCATGTATGTAATTTGTACTCTCTGCAAATAGATCTTTATCCCAACTTCCTGAATACTTAATGTCTATGTGTGTACAATAACAGGACATCACTGCACTAGCAAACAAATAGATGGCCTTGTGTAATAACAGTCTGCACTCAGCACAGTCACAATTGCTCTGACAGTGTAAAATCAATTGATCAATTCAGTTTTGTTAGTACACTATATGTCCTTTTACAGCTAGATACTGTCTTTCTTCTCTTATGGGTTAGGTGCAGACTGTGGCATTAAACTGCCTCTAGTTGGACGCCTTTACCTTTGATAGCAGACGCTTGAAACATATGCAAGCGTCTGAAACGCGTGGCTTATTTTGCCAAAAATTCATATTTTTCTCTCTGGCATTAGACGCTCAAATGCAGCTTATGAACGCTCAAGACACTAGCCTAGACATGCGTCCCCCATAGATTTTGCATGTAAACCAGACTCTGCAGTCTGAACACAGCGTACCAGAACATTAACTAAAACCATTAACCGCCACTAATAAATAGTGAGCATTGGAATTGGGATCACTTGCAATAACTTGTAATTGCAAAATTTCTTTTGAAATTTGAAGTGAAAGTTCATTGCTATAAAATCTAATTTCTTACAGTAGGGACTGCTCTATAATATGTATATGTATAAGCTTTGTTCACAGTTTGCCTCACTTTTGGCCTTTCATTAAATAATTAAACACTGGTTTTAAATGGCGTCTGTTAAGATACCTGAAGGACTTTATATTATATTCATTACATTCATTCCACACTTGATGGTGGCAAACTACTATTGTAGCCTTGCCTTGTTTGTACAACACTATTTCCACACCTGCTTATAAGTGTGGGTAGTGTGGGAGGATTTCTTTATCTGAAGGCCTATTTTTGATTTAGTAAATGCACCTGCTTTTCCCCAAAAACAAAATACAAAAGTTCAAGATTTACAGAAAATATTGAAATACATAAATTATATGCTCTATGTGCTGATACCTAAAACTTATTGTCTGATGTTCAGGGGGCACTTTAGCCCATGCGTTCCTGCCTCGGAGAGGAGAGGCTCACTTTGACATAGCAGAGAGGTGGACCCTGAATGGTCACAAGGGGCACAACCTGTTCTTGGTGACGGCGCATGAGATCGGGCACACTCTGGGCCTGGAGCACTCTCCCGTCAGACATGCCCTCATGTCGCCGTACTACAGGAGACTGGGCCGCAGCCTGATGCTCAGCTGGGACGACATCATCGCTGTGCAGCAGCTCTACGGTGATGCTCATTATGGGCTCTTTGGGTTTACATGGGGCAATATTGGATTCAAAACTTATATTCATTCTTACATACAGAACCTTTTACACTTTTTGGCCTCTTAACGTGAATCTGTATTTGCTTATCTGTCTATTTACCTTTATGTCAGTCCATGGAGGAGGTAATGTTCTTTTCCTTCTGGTCTCAAGCTTAGATACATACAACTTTGCAGGATGATATGCTATGACAGCCCTAGAAAAAGGCTAAACAATAAAAAATATATATATTGACTGACTACACCCATTCTCCTTCATACTGGATCATCTCTGTTGTTTTTCCTTCTCAGAAGTGAACTTGATCTCACGATATTATTCTTTATATGGGATTGTAAAACATACGAGGATGACCAGTCTGCTACTAAGCAATAACTTTGTGTCTGCGGAGACTGTTGCAAATACCAGGGCAGTTCATATACAGTGCGTATGTATTTATATGATAACAAATTGGGCCGCATTCCTTCCACCTATATATCTGTCTTCATGGCCCAAGTGTAACAAGTGCAAGTCAGTGACGGTGTAGAGCAGTTTTAACGTAACCACATATGAGCAATGACAACTTAGAATTTTTATTAAGAGGGTTGGACATGAAAAACATAGAAACAGGAGGACTGGCTCTAACGTGACAGACAACTGTAAACATTGAGAGAAAACGTTGAAGGAAAAAGCCAACAACAATGATGAAATGTTCCCCAGTCAAAATGCAATCCAAATAACAATAATTTACACGTATTTTGTAAATTTTTTTGGGTGACAGTCACTCATGATGTTAAGCAATTGTTATAAAACCAATATATAGTCCTCAGGTAAACACTGCTTCCACCTCCTTGCCTACACTTGAATGTGGTATGTGTGTGTGAGTTATTGTGGGTGGTTCGAGACGACTATTAGTACAGATTGGCACCCACTTCTCTGTTATTCAACCCCAGGGCATCTGTGGCTGCATTGGTACTAGAAATGCAAATGGACTATTTTACACTGTTTTCTGAGCTATGTTATAATGTTGTTTCCTCATCAGAAACATACCTGGAGTTGTGTTTTGTTTCACTCATGTTTGACACACAAACCCTGCATATTTAAAATTCTCTCAAATAAATAGCACTACAATACAGGAAGTGCTCCACTGTGTTTTTAAACTCCATACACCTTCACTAGAATGATTTGGATAGTATTTTGAGCTTTGGACATGCAAAGCCTAAAAACACGGGGTTACTCAAATGTATGAATGAAACAAAACACATTTCCAGGTATGTAGCATGTTTTTAGATGAGGTACCAACATTATAACAAGTCTTAAAGCTCACAATAGTCAATTTTGCATAATATAGGACTTTTAACCAGTTTTGTAGTTGTAAATATATATACAATATGCACAGGTATTTGATATTTCTCTCATGAAGGCTGTATTATTGTCCTGACGTCAAACTCAAGCGCCTATCTGGGTCCCTTTTGTGGTACAAACAGTACAACAGTACAACAGAAAAGAAAGCGGTCGAGATGGATGTAGATGAAAGCATATATTCTGTGTTGACAATGATTCCCGAGATCGAGGATTTAAAGCCGGAACAAAGGAACGTTTGGTGAATTATATCAAGGGGAAAGACGTTATTGCCCTTCTTCCTACGGGATTTGGCATATTATATTCGTCACGACCAAATAGCATTAGCAGCAATTAGTTAAATAAATAAGTACCCGCCTACCTTCGAGTGAATGAGTCCTAATGATGGTTTCCACAAAGTGAAACCAGCTGATGAATTAGGCTAGTATTGTTGATCTGTGACACTAGATTTTGACTACTGAAGTGAAGTATTTCAGTTGGAAGCAGTGGTGTCTTAGTAGTTTGAGCCCGAGGTGAGCAGGTGTCTAATAATAATGCACATTCTCAGACACTCACTTGACCTCATGCTGTGACCGCAACTGCTGCTGGTTTTCTACTCACTCACATTTAACCTAGAATTGTTTTAGCTTCAACAAACCTACCTCATGCGTTTTATTCATGAAAAGACGCAACTCTGTACACACTCCAGCATAGTTGTATTCATTTGTAATTTCAGAGCAAGTGTAAGGCAGGTTCTTACAAGTGCTGCTCTCTATATTTTCATTGGATGCCTCTTTTTCTCATTGCTGCTAAGACATTAATTACACTTGGAAAATATGTCCTTGTCTGGAGCTGCCCAACCAGAGTTTCCTCATGAGCTATTCTTTCACACAACAGAGACCAATTTAAACTTTTAATGTCACAGTCATCTTTTATGTCTGAGATGGTTAGACAAACTAAATCCCACATTTTTTAAAGTTGTGTAATTTGCTCTCCCGTGCGTCAATTTGAACATCCATAACCACTGATTTGAGTAACATGTATATTGTTTATATTAAACAATGAGCTGATTAAAATAAAATCAGAACAAACTCATGTTGTAATCTTCAAACCAAGTATAGAAAGTGATATTTCGGCACTCACATTTCATTTATACTTCAAAGGCGCTACATTTAAAGACACGTTTTAACACATTTCTGATTTAATCTGATATTCCCCTAGACAAAACACATCACTTATCCTGTCAGAGGAACTGTCAGTGTCACAGACTCTTAGGCCAGGGCAAAAAGGTGAAAAAACATCTGCTGTAGAAATCTGGGCTAATTGAGCAGGAATGTTTGTGGTATAATGAAGCAGTGAATCCGATCTCCCACCCTGCAGCACAGATGTTACTCCCCTCTCTCTTCTCTCACCCTCTCTCTCTATTTCTCTCTCCCCTCTTCTCTCTGTCCTTCTCTCTCCCCCATCCCTCTTTTTCTTTCTCTGTGCCTCTCTTTCTTTCTTTTCCCCTCACCTATCTATTTATCTCTTTCACTCTCCTTCCCTCACTCTTTTTCCCTCACCTCTCTCTCTCTCTCTCCCTCTTTCTATAGTCTTTTTATCACCCTCTCTCTGTTTCTAAATTTTTCTCTTTCCCCTTCACTCTGTCCTTCTCTCTCCCCCACATATCTTTCTCTTTCTCTGTCCCTCTCTTTCTCACTGTTCCCTCACCTCTCTCTTTTTCTCTCTCTCTTTCTATCACCCTCTCTCTGTTTATCTCTTTTTCTCTCTCTCCCATTCTCTCTGTCCTTCTCTCTCTCCCTATCTCTCCTTGTCTTTCTCTGTCCCTCTTTTTCTTACTTTTCCCTCACCTCTCTTTCTCTCTCTTTCTATCACCCACTCTGTTTCTCTTTCTCGCTCTCTCCCCTTTTCTGTCTTGTTCCGTCTCTCCCTCTATTTCTCTCTCCCTCCCTCTCTGTTTTGCTCTATTTCTCTCCTTCTCCCCCTTTCTCTCTTTGTCCCTCTTTTTCTCACTCTTTCTCCCCTTTGTCTTTTTCTATCTCCTTCACTCTCCCTCTTTCTCTCTCTTTCTCTCACCCTCTCTCTCTCTTTCTCACTTTTTCCCTCACCTCTATCTCTCTTTCTCTCTCCCTCACTTTCTGTTTCTCTCTCTTTCGCTCCCTCTGCTCCTTTCTCTCTGTCTCTCTCTTTCTCACTCTTTCTTTCTCACTTTTCTCTTTTTCTCTCTCCCTCATTCTCCCACTTTCTCTCTCTTCCTCTCTCCCTCATTCTCCCACTTTCTCTCTCTTCCTCTCACCCTCTCTCTGTTTCTCTCTTTTTGTCTCTCTCCCCTTCTCTCTCACCCTATCTCTTTTTACTTTCTAAGTCTAAGTTTATCTATCCCTCTCTTTCTCACTTTTTCCCTCACCTCTATCTCTCTTTCTCACTTTTCTCTTTTTCGCTCTCCCTCATTCTCCCTCTTTTCTCTCTCTCACCCTCTCTCTCTCTCTTTCTCACTCTTTCTTTCTCTCCCTCATTCTCTCCCTTTCTCTCACCCTCTCTCTGTTTCTCTTTTTGTCTCTCTCACCCTATCTCTTTTTTTCTTTCTAAGTCTAAGTTTCTCTATCCCTCTCTTTCTCACTTTTTCCCTCACCTCTATCTCTCTTTCTCACTTTTCTCTTTTTCGCTCTCCCTTTTTCTTCCTCTTTCTCTCTCTCACTCTCTCTCTCTTTCTCTCTCCTTCATTCACTCCCCTTTCCCTTTCTCCTTCTCTTGCCATAACTCTGAGATCTCCCACCTGCACTATGCTTCCTAAAAAGGTATTTGCCAGCTTCATATCCTCCGGGCCTCCCCTCTTCATTTATGACAAACACACACACGCACACACACACACACACACACACACACACACACACACACACACACATGCACACAGCCTGATCTCCACTCCAGGTCTACGAGTTCAGATCACATTACAGACACATCTCACTTTTATGAGTTTGACCAATTACCATAAAGCTGCTTCCCTACACACTACAGATGGTAAGTTTGAGTAGGCTGTCTGAAGCCAGTGTCATTAGAGTTTAACTGTGTCTTTAGGGCTCAGGACTGTGTCGAAACAGACTTATATTACTTTTACAGAACAGACATGGAGGAGGATTTTATGGGCTTTTATTTTAAGATTCTATTCATAGTTAGAATAATAACCACAATGTACAAGAAACGTTATAGTGGGGACATTAAATTAAGACAACTTTCTGTTTTATCTCGAAGCAGACAAATATAGCTCTATTTTGCATGCATACCGCAAAAAACTATAATCTTTATGAGTTGAGAATAAGTACTTGGCTAACCTTTGCTAAAATTTTACATTATTAAAATCTTAGACTACTTTAAATAAAACTACAATTGGTTCTCTTGACACCCTGTAGTTTGTTTTTTCCCACAATACTGTACAACTTATTGCATGCGTTTAAGTTATTGCAAAAGTCGTGCATTAGATACCAGCTTTGTGAAGACTTATGAGCTGAGAATATTTCAATATTTGACAACAATGCAGAGTTAAACTTGTATTTTGACAAGATGAGATGTATCAGTTGGTTTCAGAAGTGTAAGGTAATTAAAAACTCATACATTAAAGGTGCATTGTGTAACTTCTCTGATGAAGAGTCTGTCAGGTGTTTTTCTCTATGAAGGTGTTATTGCTATGTCTGAAATGTTTCACAGTATGGCATTAAACCTTTCTGTCTTCATGGAGATCAAACTAGATCAAGTTGCAGGTCAGATCTGGGGAGAGGTAACCTACTCATAGTCAGAATGCCTGTTTTTCTATGCATTTTTGAGCAATAAAACCACCTGTAATTGAATAAATGTAAGGTGGAGGCGTTATTGCTTTGTCTGAAATGTTTCACAGTATGGCATTAAACCTTTTTATTTCCAACTAGACCAAGTTGCAGATCAGGTCCATGGAGAGGTCACACTCAGAATGCCTGTTTTTCCACGCATTGCCGTGCTTCAACATAATTAAATCCAGTACATTTACAATCTGTTTCAAAACTGCATATTCATCAAAAGTCAAAACCTTTACATTGTCTTTTTTCACTGCATATGCCAAGTGTACTTCCAGCTATCGTTCTTCCCTCTGGCAGGAACCTCTCCCCAGCTGCTCCCGCGCAAATGTCAGGCAGATGTGGACAAGGCCCGGTCCTGACAGCTCCTGTAGCCTAAAGCGCTGTATCCCCCGTGCTTTGAGCTGTAGGCAGGGCATATGTGACTAGGCTTTGTGTTAGACTGAATAAGGTGAGAGAAAACAGATGTATGGGCAGCTGGACATGTCAGCCTCTTAGCACCTCTCCTACTGCGCTCCCTCTCAGATAAGACACATTAAATGCCTCGATGTATGCAGTACAAATACACATAATTTACATGAAAGTACATGAAAAGTACTATTGTCTTTTTTACAACCATACTACTTTTGCCAATTATTTCTTCCCACTCTGAGATATTGAGAATAGCAGTAATCTATGGTTTTGTCTACTTGGGTGTGCTGATTTTATTCAACCTCGTAGACACAAATATTTGTTCAAAGTCTTACAAACATTTTTTTTAAAATCAAATCTATAAAGCCTTTATAAACTTCTGTGTTATCCCATTGTTTAACTCCAAAGTGCTCTATATTTAAACTAATTTAAACAAATTGCTTCATATCTAAATCTCTGTGATTCATCATGTTGCTGAAGACAGTTTTCCCTCTTAGTAATTCCTCAGCCATGAAATCAGTTCACAGGGGCTTAAGTATAGTTTATGGGACGGGGGTAATAGTTTGGTTATATATTATAAACTGGTCAAGGGCAACTTTGGCAGGTCACTGGCAACTTTGAATTGTGTGTGTTTCTATTGCAAAAAACTAAAATGTGGCCTGATGGTGTCACCTGCTTGTCTCCATGGAGACTTGTGTTTTATCTTATATTTTTCTTTCAGATCAGACAACATTTTTAAATGAACTTTTCCTTTTACCTGTCCATGTTTTAACTTGTGGGTTTGTTTCTCTTACAAGTAGCATTTGTATGACTTAATAAGAACATTGTTGCAGTGAAATGATTCGCTTCCTTCGGTGGTCTCTGTAGGAAAGCCATCAGGGGAGCGTACTGTCAGACTGCCAGGACAGGTGCTCCACGCGGTGCTGCAGCAGTGGGAGCTCACAGACACCCCCGAGAGCACCCAGCACCCTCTGTACTGCCAAGGGGCATTTGATGCCATCACTATGGGTGCGTTTATCATGATCAGCTATCAATATTTAATAACTCTCTCAAAATTCACAATATGATATTGATTTGTCTTAGACCAAAATGATACAGTGCTGGTGTTTCGGGGCAGTTTCTTCTGGACAGTGTCACCCAAAGGTGCAGTTACTAAACCCCTGCCTCTTCGACAGCGATGGGCAGACCTGCCTCCAGCCATCGAAGCAGCTGCATTTTCACCTTTGGACTCCAAGTTGTACTTCTTTAAAGGTAGGACTCAACAGTGCCTAGTCTAGCCCTCTAGTTCCTCAGTGTAAGTCTGGTTGTGTGTTCAGGGCGGAGAATGTGGCGGTACTCTGGTTCTCAGCTGGACCCAGGCTTTCCCAGGAGAACAGTAGAGTTGGAGCTCCCTCGGCACCCTGACTGCGCGTTCTTCTACGCCCCTCTGGGACACATGATCCTGTTTAAGGGCTCAAGATACTTTGTTCTAAACCTGAGGACGCTGCGTGCAGAGCCCTACTACCCCCGCAGACTATCAGACTGGACAGGAGTGCCCCAGGGCACTAATGGGGCTCTAACCCGCCCGGACGGACGCCTCTACCTGTTCAGAGAGCAGCATTTCTGGAGGTTTGACCCTCTTAAGGTGCGAGTGACAAAAGAGGGACTGTGGGCCAAAGATCTACACTGGGCTGGCTGCAGCGACAGTCCCCAGAGCAATAATATTCTTTGATGGAGCTGGGACGTCAACATCAAGTGCAATGAATTCATGTGTAACTGTTTAATTCCAGTACCCAAACAAACTCCTTCAGTTATAATAACCTGACTTTTGTAAGGTAGGTGAGAAAATGAAATAATTACATTACACAGCAGGGTATATTACTCTGGATTACCCTGCACAAGTATTTTTCTTTTAGATTTGCACAATACCAGAAGATGTTGTTAGAAGAAGTTAAGAAAAATCTGAGCTTATTTTTTCAGTAATTGTTTTTCATCAGAACAGCACATGTATAAAATCTAAACTTATAAATGTAGGGGTTTGCATCAGTATCATGCTGTAGAATTTTTTTTTAAGCTCTTTCATACAATTATATTCAGTATAAAAAGTCCACATGTTGAAAATAAGAGGGGTAATGGGAGAGTTTTTTTTATAAACATTTTACTGTTTGAATCACAAGTATCATATTTTGTTTTAAACTGGACTCCTAATCTTTAAATCTGTATAATCATACACACTACAGTCTGAGAGCAGAAAAGGGGGTTTTGAGCATCTGCTGTTCCACTGAAGTTTCACTTAATCTCTCTCTGTACAGCTGATCCCACTGCGTACTTAGGCCAGAGCCTCATCACAATACAAGGGACGGTCTTGCCTACATGAACTCAGGCGTCAGTTCACCGTTAACATTTTGACTTAAACAGAGCCTTAAACTTAGAATCAGGATGAGAAGCTGCATGCTGTCTTCAGACTTCTTATTTGGGTCATTTGCATTTGTACACAGAATTTCTATTCATTATGAAGAATCTATTTACCAGTATTCCAGCATGATCACATTAAATACAATTCATACTTCTAATACTAATACTTTGAGAGGACATTTTATCTAAAACATATAAATCTCATTTTTCATATTACAAAAAAGTTTGAAGCAGTCCTTGTTCTATATGTATCCTGCCCTGGACAGGGTTCATATGTAGAACTCATCCATGCTATCTTCACTGTTTGCCTTCAGACTCAGCAGTGTGGAGTTCTCAGGGTTAGTCCTGTTGATCCCATTGGCTCTGGGGCTGTGTGCAGTGTGTGCAGTAGTGCTGGGGGTCCGGGGCAGACACTCGCTCAGCTCCTTAGCCAACACTTCCACTGCCGAGGCCCCTACTGCAGCCGGCCTCTCGGAGCTCACAGTCATCAGCAGGTCTACAGAGGAAGCGCGCCTGATGCTTTTGGGAACAATGTCATGCAGAGGTGAGACCAGGTCACCTGTGTCCACATTAGTCTCCTCCTCATCCTCCTCCAGGAGCAGGTGGGACAGAGAGCGTGTGATGTGGGGGCGAAGAGGGGACTCGGTCCGATGGGAGGGGGGCACTGATGCAGGACTGCTACGTTGGGACGAGTAACAGGAGCTGCCAGGGGGACTGCTGCACCCACTACCTGAGCCAAAACTGTCTGCTCCTCCATCACAGTCTAGGGATTTATGTCCTGCTGACACCAAACCACAAACTTATTATTATGAACACAAACTTGTACCTGTGAAGTAAACCATTAGATATGTTACACATGTTACTGAATGAAGATATCATTCTAGGAGCTGTGACCTAGGCTAGTTGTGTTTTTTGTCTTTTACATAATTTAATTTGCCTGAAAATCCAGAATGATATCTCTCTGTATTTCTTATACAGATCAATGTCAGTCTGGTCCTCACACCCTCCACCAAAATGTGATCGTGCAATCAAATGCATTTTTGTATTTTTGTGACGCATATGAATCAAAGAAGCTCCTTGGCCACTTATGTTTTACAAAAAATTATCTCACCTCAGACTAAAAGAGTTCAGTGCTTCACTCATTGATTCTGCAAAAATCTATAATGTTTTTCAGTACCCTGATTGTCTAATCTACTTGTCAATCACACCCAATTGAAAACAAGTAGGTTCCCTAGTGACTAGACTCATATCTATGTAAAGTACTGAAGAAATGTGTATTTTGGATCCCAGGCAATAATGTCATATCCCCTGATGTAAAAATGAGAGCTCACATGCCTTGTCTGTGGGTGTGCCAGGAGAGGGCGCTGCTGAACCTGTTAGGGGACACACTGCTGAGCTGCTGTCCTCGAGGGGACACAGCAGAGCTGCTTAGGGGGAAAGCACAGGTCAAAGGTCGCTGAGGCTGAACCGGGGTTTTCACCTGGAGCACAGAAGGACAGGATTATGATCCACACTCCGACCAAAGAGATTTGAACAGACTAAGTGACTTAACAAGTGCACACTTGACATATGGCTCTGTGACAGCTTTGAGCTACTATGGTTGTTCTCAAGTAATATAGAAAAGAAATTCTGAACTGTAAGAACTGGGGGATCTTTTGTTCTATTACCTGAAAGAGCACCTTGTTTCCATCCAGGTCCTCAGTTTGCCAGCGTGTTGGGCTGATAGGGGTACAGGGATTAGGCAGCAGAGGAACCAATTGTCCAATTTCCTCCACATTGAACTGCAGCACAGCAGAGTGGCATGGCTCAACTCGCACCCCTGGTGACAACTGCTTTATAGCAAGCTGCAGGCTCAGCCCTGGCTCTGTCAAGTACATATACATTCAACTATGTTCAGTTTATCTATACATCAGAATATGTCACACCTACCTGTGTGAAGGGTGAACCAGCAGAAGCCTGTCTTTTGTTCCTCCGCTTGTTGTTGTAATACTGTCTCATAGAGCCTCACTGAATCTTGATAGTTATCATATGCACTGTAAAGTGTGACACGTAGAATTTCTCCTCCACAGTGCACCGGGCGGACCCCCCATACAGGCATACCTGCACCCAGACTGTAAAAGTCTCTGCTGGGCAGGAGGTAGGGTCGAAAGGAGGGGTTGGCAGAAGAGCTGCAGGAGGAAATGTGGACCCCTCCTGTCCGACTGCCACAGCTCTCTGTGTGGTGATACTGCCATGGAGGGTGCTGCAAGAAGTCAAGGACCTTAAGGATTCGCTCTTCTCCATAAGCTTCATGAAGGAAGAAGGTGATGGCTACAGATGGATAGCCTAAAGTATGAATATTTTTTTAATGTCATCATGTTGGTTATATTGCCAGCAGAATTAAACAGTCCATTCATAAATGCTTGAAAAGCATTAACTCACCCGCCACAGGACACAAGCGAGTGTAGGTTCTGTAAGGCGACGCCCTCTCGGACACATGGAAGATGCGGAGGCTGGGGCAGAGCCAGCGCAGCAGTTGGTCCAAGGTCTGCTGCAGGAGCAGGGAGTCTCCAGGGTTGGCCAACAAGTGCAAATGTAACAAAAGTGTGCTCTGTAGCCGCTGCTGCCTGAGCCGTCTGGTCACCTCAGCTGAAAGAGAGGGCCACATACATTAATGACACTAAATAAGCACACAGAGAGTGTGTATTCAAAGGAAAATTACTCACTGGCAGATGAGGACATCCTGCTGGAGTCAGATCTGAATAACAAAAGTAAGACAACATATAATTCTACTTTCTGACTTGGATGAAAGACAAACATCTGTCTCCATCTTGTGGTGGTGGGCATACACACAGCCCTTTCGTCACCATGACAACACACGATCTGTTGTTAGCCAACATAAGCTAAAAAGCTATTTGATAAATCCACAATCAGAAGACAGCAATGCAGTACAAACAACTCCATCGCAGGCTTTTTCAGTAATATGACGTTTTCCTCTATCCAGGTCGTGTAAAAGCTGCCCCATTGTAACACAACAAAGTTATTAGCTCGTGTTAGCCCTCAGCTAACGGGTCCTGACTTCTGAGTACTCACTCTGCAGTTTCTGCTCCGGAGTCCACGTTTTCATGATCGCCTCAGTTTATCAGTGTCGCTGTATGAAACATGGCTCAGCAGCACACATGTTCACTGCCATGGACAAAGGTGCGAGCTGCGGCGGCTGCAGAAGTCCGGACGGAGGGCGAAGCATCCCGTTTGTCTCTGGTCCCGGAGACAGAGGACTGCGGGACACTGACGTAATCCGACAACCGAACTCCGCTTTTGGTGTTTAAAAAAAAAAAAAAAAAAAAAAAGGTGCAACTAACTAAAAGGCGACACGGGATGTGCAAGTGGCATCATCCTTTGGTTTGGCACGCACCAGTATGTTTGAGTAAGGGGAAAGGACCGTGCAGAGACTCGGCAGATTAAAACCCAAAGCTGTCGATAATAACGGGAGCAGATGGCACGCGTCTAACAAGACTATGCACCCACAATATGAGGACAAAGGAGGGGTCCAGACGGGTCGGACAGATTTTTAAGAACAAGACGTAGAAGCCGCTCTAAACCCAGGAAACTATGCGGTTAGAGAGTTAAGAGCATTACTTAATGAGAGCACATAGAAAACATTACAGCCAACAAGCGCATGGTTTGATGACATCAACAAACAATTTGACATGTCTAACAAGCTTCTCTACAGACACTCCACACCTCATTCTTATTAGGAAAGCACAAACTGTAGTGGCAAATGATGACTGGCTCCTATGCATAAAAAATGTCAACATTGTTATTGTGGTTAAAATAAATGAACACACATTTAATTCATTTACTCTACATTTAATATGATGAAAACAAGGCCCTGTACAGTCCACCTTTGCAGTGAGTACAATAATTATTTTACAATTTGTACATATTGGAACATGGTGCTAGACATATCCACTTGTTCAAATTGCTGTGGAGAAGGGGGACAATGGTTTTCCTTTTAACTCGCACCTTGAAGAATGTTCTGTTCTGAGGAGATAGATTATAGTCAAAGATACAACAGACTTAAAAAGTCAGTCAGCATGCCGTGAACTTACAGCTGTGGATGTGACCAGCTACCTAGTCCAGGGCAAATGTGTTTCTGAAACTGGCAATTAAATATTTCATTCTATGTGAGGTGTAACTAATTCATACCAGATAGTAAAATAACAACCTCAAAACAGTTATAATTGCAACATAAATTAAGCACTCTTCCTGTTTTGTCAAGTCCTCACAATGTATTTGCCTGCTTTGGTAAACCAGGCCGGTACCACATTGTTAACACTGTGACCTCTTAATGATTTAAAATCTCTGGCGGGAAGGTCAAGAGCAGCTATACATCCACCTGTACAGCCATAATTGTGCCACAAAACAACCGGAACACATTGACATAAACATTTAAAAAGTGGGGAGTGGATTCAATCGTTTTCTTGCTCTCAGTGTAGCTGATTGTTTGCTTAGTAGCTTAGCCATTCACTTATTCTTGATTCTTTGTTAAGAACAGCATGTGGCAAACATGCCCACCTAATTCTCTCCAAAGGCCACAAGGAACATTATTTGTACAAAACTAGACCCCCTCGTCTCTCTCACCAGAAGAAATCTAATATTGCTAGAGAACTTCCCATCTTTTATGTGATTTGTACACATTTCATGGAAGAAAAGTTAAGCTTCCCAGTGTTTCCCAGAATCATCGATGAAAGCACTTCCAAGTTCATTGAATGCTGTCCACAAAAAGACTCAGATTCAACTTTCATTGAATTTACTTGCATTACGCTACATAGGTGTACACTTTACGGTCCTCTGGCGTTCGTGCCAAATATTCTCGCTCAATAAGTCCTTCAATGCGCTTCTTGATGACTACAGGACTGGGTAGGAACCGTGCTCTTAACTGTTGTGTGACCTGTGAGAACAACACTGTATTAATAATGTTCTTTTCCCCATTGCTGTAGCTTGTTCCATTCTATTTTCTTACTTACCTCTGCTACTAGAACATTGTGCTGCATCTTCTTTCTGGACTTCATGATGCGGACTATTGCAGCTTCTATTTCATGCTTTCGGTCATCATCCACTTTTTGTCGTGTCTCTTTCCGTTCTGGGTCTGATTCTCCTTGTTTAGCCGCCACTAGTGCATAAAGAATAACAAGAATATGTCTCACCATTACAGCATGAACACAGAAACAACTAAAGAATGAACATATCAATCAGCTTTCATCTACCTGTCTGGATCTTAACTCGATGTAATTTGGAGGTGAACTGGTCATTGACAGTAAACACATGGCCATTCTCTATCTCCTTGGATTTAGGCTCCTTGGTGAGAACTCTTTGGGTTGGCTTCCCACAGGCCAGGGACTGCAGTGCTCGCACCAGCTCCCTCTCAGGTATGTCTGTCTCCTGCTGGATTTCCTACAATGGATATAGTCATGTCAGTAAAAAGAACATGCAGATTTACTAAGGCACATGGCTGTTTAGATACCTCAAAGGTGGACTTTTCTCTCGTGTTAAATAACATAAGGATGGTCATCTGAAAGGTAGACACTTGCAGGATGTGCTTTCTAGTGTTGGAGCCTGTAACTTGAGCTCCTCCCACTCCAACTTCAGACCCATCCTCCTATAGCCAGGTGAGGACAATGGTAAATAAGTTTTATGGTAGAAGTAGCTTTAGAAATCCTTGGAACGTCATAATTTTCCCAGCCCTGCATACCTTTTTGATTGGACCATAGAAAGTGGCATTTAAATCTGCAGAGCCCATGTGGTGCTGAAGTGTGAGTTGTCGGCCACTGTGTTTACCAAGATAAAACCTATAAAACAAGTTAAAACATTTGTTACAGATCATTAAAAACAAAACAAAAAATACTGATGGACTTACTGACTAACCTCCTAAATACTTCAAATGCATGACGTGGAGAGGGCGGGATGTTACACTTGGGTGTTGCTGATTGGGTGGGCCAGTACCCTGTGGTCAAAACTCTTACGGTCAGATCCACTCCTCCAAGCGACACCTGTAATGTGCATAACAAAAGTATATTAAAGGCAATCAATTCACCACTACAGTACTTGTTGATGAGTCAAATAAAAAAAAAAAATTACGATTAATATGTAGGAGCACAATATGGATATTAAAACAAAGATCAATTGTAAACCACATCACACATGGTTAAATGTATTTAAGATTTTGGTTTGAAAAGAAAAAATATTATTTTGACGGTTTGGCAGTAAAAGTATATGCTGTCCTGTCCTTATGTTTTGTCATGTAGTGGGTCCTTACCCCAGTAGTTTGTAAATGTTGTCTAAACTCATCCAAGGTCGTGTTGGAGATGCTCATGTCCCGGAACATGCCCTCCAGTTTTGAGGTAAACTGACAGCCACACTCTGTCTGTTGGAGACAAAAACAGACATGTGTACAGCTTATTGGCTCATACTGGCTTTCAATGGATGGTCTGTCAAGTTCAAAGTTGATATAGTGATGAGTGCTTATTGCGCTAAATGAAATATTCTCTTACCTTGAGCTTTGAGATCATGTTTTTCTCAGAGTCATCAGAAACACTCTTGTTAGTGAGCAGTCTGCGGGCAAGATGCTGTTTGTAATACCTTTCAAACACATCTTTCTCCTGCATGAATCGGAATAAGACCATGGCTTTGTCCAGTATGGACTCCACCTCCTGCTCTGTGAGCTGTCAAATACAAAAGCACATACAGAAATTCGGTATGAAACAATGTACCTGATTTCAACCAGAGCTTAAACTTACCCCTTTGACCCCTTTCTTCAGCTTATCATCAATAAAAAGTGAAAGGTATTCAGGAGAACGAGAGTTGAGGTTTAGGAAGTACTCAAAGTCTCCAGCGATGGTCTGTTTGAATAGTCTGTCATTGTTAAAAGATTCTTGAAGGAAGCGATCAAATCGTAACTTGAGATCCAGCAAGCCCTAAAATTAACACAGATATTACACGTCAAGAGAAGTAACAACTTCAGCGTTGCCTTAAACAGGAACATGTAGTTTTACCGAGCATGCAACCTCATTTAGGATTGAAAATAATGTTGTAATGTCACTTTCATTCCTGTTTTCTGGTGTTATTTTTTTGAGTTGCCGCACTGCTTTCAGTGTTTTTTGGGGGTATTTTTTTTTAATTTTTTTTTGTCCAGTGTGTTTCTTACCTGGATATAGTCCACAGGGTTCTTTCCCTCTCCCTCCTCTGACACCAGTGCCTTTCCCTGCTCTCTCAGGTAAGAGCTCATGCACTCACACATGGTCTTCAACCCATTGGGAACTCTACTGAACAGCTTGTACATACATGCCAAATCTGCCAAGTGCACACACAAACACAGAAAGTTAGTCTCTGCTTGTAAATACAACATTTGGCTCATTCAAATCAGCCTCTTACCATCTGTCTTGCCATTCTTGAGCATATGGACCAGGCCTGAGTTTTCCATCTCTACAATGGTCTTCATGTGTTTGGAGATGAGTTCACGCTCCACCACTTTGACAATGGGCTCCTCTGTTGATTTATCCAGGCAATGCATCACCCGCTCAATCTCCTCATTAATCCTGGCTTCCACCTTCTTGATGTATACACTGGCACTGTTTTCAGCAAGGAACTTTTGACTTTCCATCTGTAATACAAACAAACAATTATCTGAAAGTCTCACCACTGTACACTATGTTCAAAATGCTAGTTAGCTCAAACCTGGAAAAACTCTGCAGACATTTCAAGAAACGGTGCTTCAAAGTCCTCTTCATAAACAGACCTCCCTTCTAAACCGAGGATCATCAACATTTGGCATGCGTTCCTTATAGCACCCCTGGTGTAATAAAAACACAAAGTCAATTCAAAATGTTCAGTAATAAGTATGTTTTGTGAAGCAATGTAAGTTGTCCCTAGCAATCGGTTAACATAGGTAAAAAAAGGCTGTAGGTTGAAAAGTAATCCATTGCCAAAGTCAGAGAGGATTTGGTTATAATCAAAGCAGATAATGTTATCTGGTCAGTAAAATTCAGGCTCATGTGGCTTACCTGTCCACCACCTCCCCTTTTCTCTCCCTGGCGATCATGTCCAGGAGGGTTTGTCGGAGATGGTCTCGGATGCAGCCATAACGGACCACCTGGTCTCTGAAGATGATGAGGCCCAGGTTGTAGACATTTTCCACGTTATTCTGTTGTACGTACACACGGTCCTAAAAAAAATTAAGTGTTTAAAATTGATATTACTGTTGCCATACTATTAAGAATATTCTTAATCTGTACTAGCTCTTGTTAAAAAAGGAGGCACCAACTGAACTAGTTTTAGCCAATCACAGCAATAGCTTCTATGACATAGCATCAGGCAGATGATTCCTTCCAGATTTGAGGGATTTTGTGAGGATCTTTCTCCATTCAAATGATATAATAGATTTGATTATTTGATTTACTGCTATAACAACGCAGGACCATTGCCATGCCAAATCCTAATCCTTCTGTCTGAAACCCATAAATTGGTTGTTTTTGTAAAGGTGCAGCATCATACATTAGTTTTTTGAATCTCCTTCAAGGCATGACAGCAATATGATTGAGTAGAATACTACAAAATTGATTTTGGAAGTCTGAAAACCCAAATTCCCCCACAGTGAAAATGCATGACTCACCATGTACATGAGGATGTCTCGAATCATCACCATTGCTGTTTGATGATCATTCCAGGCTTGATTCAACGTTTGAAGGAAGTTATTATTAAGGGAATTCAGCACATCTTCTCGAACCTTTGGAAGAGAGAGGGGAGGTTAAAACAGTGTTTTTCGACCAAGGACTCTGCTGCTAAAAAAACAGCCAAGTTTTAACACAAGTGTACCTCACAGCAGACCTCTCACAGTTATCTTTCATTTGCTTTCATTTGTCCCTAGACTCGTGAGCCTTAAAAATCTGCCACCAGTCTCACTGCAGCATGACTCAGCACCAAACATCTCAGCAGACGGCTGAAATTCTTCAGGACACACTGACCTCACCATGGTTCTGAACTGACATGATGGAGGATGAGCGCTCCCACTTCAGGGGCATGTGATCACACCTCACTAATGCACTTTGAGTGGCTTTCAATCTGCAGCACCTTGCATTTTGACACTACTTTAGTTAGAAAAACATATGAAGGATAAGATGGGTATGAGGAAACATGTATTGCTACAAAACTTGCTGGCTCACTTTGAACTGGAAGCTAGACAAAAAAAACAACTAATGACTATAAAACTCTTAATTGCCTCTGAGAAGAATATTAGAGAGAGCTGTTGGTGAGTTCAAATCTGTGCTTCTTATTCTGAAATATCAGATGGGGAATTTTCAGAACAAATGTTTAAAGATCTTATATTACTCTATTTTTTTAAAACTATGTTATAATATAATAATAATAATAAAACATAATTATATTATATATATTAATATAATAAGTTACTTCCTCATCAAAAACATACATCAAGATGTGTTTGTTTCATTCACACATGTTTCACAGAGAAATCTGGCAAATTGAGGCTGAGCTCTTCTCGCAAACAGAAAACACTCTGTTTGTCTTTGTGATGTGATAAAATGTTCCACTGTGCTTTCAGACTCCATACATCCATACTAAAATAAGTTGAATGATTTCAGCCCTAGAATTGCCCATCTATATTAAATTAAAGGTAAAAAGGAACTGTTAACTTGAAAAGTACCACTACGTGATATTACAAGGTGGAACAGAGCATTTTAAGCTTTGGAGATGTAGACTGACTAATAAACCAGTTTCCTCAAACATGTGTGAATGAAACAAAGCACAACTCTTGACATGTTTTAATAACAATATTATAACATCGCTTAAAACTCACTAGAGTCAATTTTGAGTAATACAGGACCATAAACTGTGGTGTCCTGTAGATCCTGCACATACCCAAAATCAACATAACAAATCCAGTTTTGTGAAACAACAACAACAGCATTTCTGAGGTTTAATACTTGGCTGTGACAGTTGCCTTTTTAAAAAGTCTTAAAAAGTTTTAACTTTTTAAATTGAATATATTCTTTCCCATTTCCCCCAAAAAGCATGTTCATCACAGTCTGCACCCAACTGAGACACCCAAAGTAGGGTCTTCAAGGGCTGCTCCATTAAAGGAGGCATGCACCTTCAAGCTTCCAAGGCATTTTTAAGACAAGAATTACCCGTTTGGATTCACCTTGCTATTGATATTTGGAAAAGGGGAAATTATAATATTTTAAATTCAAGAATAAGACTTACTTTATTGATAAGGTGCTCTGTGACCACCTCACGCAGGCCTGTGTACAGCTTCTCCCCATGTTTGTGCAGCACCATGGTGTACGCATTTCTGTACAGCTCCTCGAAGCTCAGGCCACTGTTGTTCTTCCTCTGGATCTCCTGGATGGCATTCTTTAGTAGGTCCCAGATGTTGTTTACATACTTCTCATCCATCGTCATCTGAAAAGGGAAGAGGTGCAACAATCATATTATAATATCATTATTATTATTAATCCGCTATGAACTGCTTAATTAGAGATATAGCAATCAGATACTGGTATTGGATATTGCCGCTGATTACTAAAAAAAATTGCTGATATTGGAGTAAAAATATTTGTTCAGCAGATTTTATGGTCATTAGTTGGCCCAGAAAGTCTCATAAAGTTTGAACTTTTAGGGAGCTCCACAATCCCGCTCCTGTTTCGGAAGTAAAATTTCCATACATTTTTCCCATAGACATTTTAAAAAATTCAAATATTAAGAGTTCAAGAACATGGCAGAGGCTAACAACCTACATGCACAAATATCCACCAATTGAGGAGGCTCAAATAAGCTTTTGCTTCTGCCAACTCCTTTTGAGTATTGCCATTTCTGCTGTGTGTACATATAAAAAAAAAGTTCTCCTGTGTTACACTGTAGTTGTTATTACTGTTACACTTTAAGTCTAAAGATCACATTTAAAATGCACTATTCAAATGTTTTAATAAATTTGCAGTTTACAAAGTTTCAGAAACAGAATAAAATGACAGGTTTTATGGTCATTAGTTCCACAGAACTTTTCAATCTTTTAATATAAATTTTTTTGTAAAGTCAATGGCAGAAATTAAGGGGAAATTTACTTCTGGAAGAGCCAGAATATGGATCCGTATTGTCTTATTTGTATGTATATGTTTAAAGAAAATAAATTCCGTTTTCAATGTTGGTATTGATTGATATCAGGTATTGGCAGATATTTAAAGCTAATCCTTCAGAAAGCTAAACTGTTGGAATCTGTATCAGAACTAAAAAAGGCTGCATAGGTGCATCAGTGTTTAACTGAATCAAAATCCCAAGACATTGTATCACATGATTTTCTTATTATCATCATTAGTGAGCAAAGTTGCTGTAAAGTTGTATTTAAACATAAAAATTGTATGAAATCATCAGTATACAGCATCTTTTACATGTCCAGCAAAACTATGATATTTGATGTTTTCTGAATGTATGAAATACAAAAGTACACTACGTAACTTTCTGGAGGTGGCACGTCACCTGCATAATTCCATGGAAATAGAAAATTAAAACCATTTTTCAGAACATTCTCCATGAAAATAAATAGGTTTTATGCCATACTGTGGAAGATCAGACAAAGGAACATTTCCATGGAATCAACAGGAGGCAGCCCTCCTCCAGGCCAAATAAGTCAGGTTTGTGGAGCTGCAAGCCTGCTCAGAGTAAGGACATGTCAAGAGATCTGGTGCAGAGATCCGACCCAATGAAAACTTGTAGTTTATTTTTTGCTACAAAGTTACTTACTGTGACTTTAACTATTCACTCCTAACTCTTACATTATCACTAACTTATTCTACTACCATATCCCCTGGAGCAGACTGGTCGAGCAGTAGTCATGGATAATTTACATATCCAAGACATGATTTACTCATATTAGTTCTGCTGTGTGTGTCTGAATCATTCAAACTAGTCAACTGTCACTTGATGAGAGGCCCTGCAGAGTGCTGCTCTGCTCTGTGCACGGGGACAAGCCCAAACACATGCATGATTCTGGCACTAGCAGGTCTGTCAGGACTGGGCTACATTCAACAGCCTCTTACATGCAGGTCCCATTTCTAATAACATGTAGCTGACAGGAGACCTAATGTATCAATCATAGGACATGCAGCCAACCTACACAGATTTTTGTATGCCAGAAGTATCATGCCCCAAATTCACTCCGTTAGATCAATGACAACGCCTTATTAATCATCATTTAACGGAAGATGGCCCTTTAGTGTGGACAGAAATATTTAGGTTCTCTCTCTATTGGCAGAGCATCGTTAGCACGGATGTGTTAGTTCACATCACCCATCTCCAAACATTACACTTATTAAGATAAGAAAACATTAACTTGCCTGTCTAAGGCCAACTCACGTAGCTGGTTTACATAAGGTGAGAAAATTAGAAAAGACAGCAGCAAATTCAAAAGTAAACATGCAAAACAACAAGTGTCAAAAGAGAGTGCTAATGTTAGCGTGAGGGCTCTGCAGGCTTCCATGTTGATCCAGTCTGCTAGCAACACATGACACACTGACAATATAATCTAAGTGTCCACGATGCTTCTATGTTTACATGATCAAAGCCTAAACTAGACAATTATGACAACAACATGACAACTGCTGAAGGTCCTCCAAAAAGCTGTGGTAGTCGGCCTCTTAGCATGTTAGCTCGTAGCCAGACCCCGGTGTTCGAGTGCGCCACGGTGCGGCAGACGGAGCTCTGTCTGCGGAGTGCACTTACAGGAAAGGCCCGTATTCGCATTTTGGTGTCCTTCTTGGTACCGCCTTTGCTGAGATTGGACATGGTTGCCTCGTCTGTGGGCGCTGTATTTACATGAAAATATTCTCCGGGTAGGGACGGGATGGCTACTGGATAAAGGAGTAGCCGACCAGCTTCCACCCGACCTCGTCGCTCCTCGCCCCGACTCAAGTTTATTGTTGACAGCCAAACGCCAGAGCCGATACTTGTACAGGAGCAATGGCGGACTACCTGCACTTCTCACTGCGCACATCTCACGCTCCGCAACTCCCGCGATACTGCAGCGCACCGTCCACAAACTTTACCTCATTTATAAGTATGAAATATTTATTTAAGTTTAATATTTTCTCTATGGGCCTTTTTCATATTCTTTGGCATAGCATACAATGACACAATTTGACCTAAAAAAGTTGGTCTTGACTTGCCTAGTTTCATAAGTAATATATATATTTTTTGTATGGGAATCATAAACTGTATTTTTTGTTACAGACAATGATATGAATATTTTTTTGTGTGGGTCAGTGAACCTAGAATTGCCTCAGTATTGTACCTTCTGTTCAGTTATACTATGATTTTATACTGATTAATAAAAGTAACCCAGTTAAATTAATATGAGTGATTTGGCCTATAGCCTATTCTTTCAGACATGAGTAAAAAAATGAAAAAGAGTCAAACCTATTGATTTTTAAATTCTATTCTATTCTGAAGCATAATTTCATAATAAAGTGAGTCAACCCAGATGAACAAGGCTTCCACCATATTTATTTCAAGAAAAGCAACAAAAACAAAACAAAAGACTCATTCAGTAATCTTCTCAAAATTCTTGTTCAGCATAAAGGTAATAAACAATCAAACTAAACCAAAATAAAATTATTAACTGAAGTGTATTTCTTAATATAATAATTTATATAATTATATGAATTTGGCATATTTGTTGAACATGTAAATCCTAAATAAACATATTGGGCTTTTTAATTCTATATTTCAAACAATCTAAGCTTGTGGTTCTTCAAAATGGCATGAAAAAGATGAACAGGGTGAAACAACTGTAGTACAATACAGAATTGGGGACCTCCCATTGTAATAACTACAGACAATTAAGTAACATCTTGAAAAGTCTTTATATACAGTAATTATCTTTTGCCACTTGAAACAGGTCCATCTGTTGAAAAACCCTTGATTGGGTATACTACCTGGATTAGCAGCATTTTCACACCGCGCATTAGGTCGCAACATTTCAATATGAAAACATAATTTATATTTCAGAAAACAAAAAGTTTTGCCTTGGTTTGCCTTTGCAACTGAGCCAGGAAGTAATACATAAATGTTTGCTTGGCACATAAAACCCTGACATTGGAACAAGAACAGACACACAATAGCCTATAGAAGAAAAAACAAAACAAAAATAAGATTTATATCTGAACAGCATATCACAGTCCTTTAAGTCTTTCAACTGAAGCGCCTCACTGTGTCACCTCAATGCCTTTGGGAAACACATACCTGTTAGTACAGTAATTTAAGAAGAGGCATAGGTATTTACATAGTTATCTATGCAATATTACAGAGGCAGACACTTCATATTGCACATAAAAAGGCAGGTAATTGTGAAAGAGTGGTTTCAAACAATACTGCAAAAACTACCTGTTAATGTGTGAGACACTCCTACGTGTATCTATATGCCCTTAGAACTTGACGGTACAAAATCACATAATAAGTTATATCATCTTAATTTCTAATATTTTCAATTCAAACTGTTATCATGTCTGCATATAAGGGTAAAGAAACTGGTTAGAAATCATTTAATAAACTTGCAGTCACTTTCTTGCTTTTTAACACCCACATACTGATGTAGTCACACAGCCTACATAAAAACAATGCATCATCATTTCACTGTAGCCCACATCCTATGAAAGATAAAATTAAACTGAATAATATGTTGTGATCTAAAATGGCTATCTCTAGTTTCATAAACTGGTTCTGACAAAATACTATTGTCGCAGAGCTTTCTAATTTACACTATATATAACCAAAATTACAATGTGTATAGTGACATCTTCACACAATTAATTCACAAATATACATATTCTGAGCATGGCGGTCATTCAGTTCCCAGTCATACTATGTTACAGCATACACTCCGGACAGGCTCTGTAGTTCATTTGAATATATTAAAAGCTCTAAGAAAGGCAGCAGAGATGCGCAATAAGGCATAGAACACACTCAGAGACACACTTGTATTTATAACACAGTCTATAGTCTACATTGACACAAACAAATGAGATGGATATTTAAAGGGCTTCCGTTGCTCTTCTAGTAAAATTATACTAAAACTAGCTTAGTGGAATCATTTACCAGGTGTAAGGTATTGGGATGTCCACACAAACAATGACAATGGGTGCTGCAGGGTGCCCTAATATGTAATGTGCTGTCTTATGTGTATCATTGACTGTGATTGTCAAATTGTCCCTACCCAAAGTAATTATGATATATAATGGCGTGAATGTAATCTTAGTAAAACCAAGGTAGGTCAACATGTCCTAAAAGTTAATACAAAATGGAATATGGTATAAAATTAACGGTGATCATTTCTAAACCTCGAGAACACTGACCCAAATCTAAAGAATAAACTATGATGAATGGTTGACATGCATCTGTAAGCATCAGGTGAGGGGGCCGTAACAGCAGCAGTGTCTGAGAGCTGCCTTGATGTGAACGAAGCTAAGCCATAGAAACCAATAAAAGCTACAGTTAGAAAACATTTACAGAAAGTATAGCACTTAGTCTCACTGTTACATTTGAAATAGTAGTCTTTTGAATCTGTCGTGAGCATCTTTAAAACAGGGTGTGCGTTTGTGTGTCAGTGTGTGTTTTTACAATCTTAAAACAGGATCAGTAGTACAAGACGTTTAGTACAAACTTTTTCCCATTATAGCTGCTGCTGATAAGGAACAAGTCACTAGCTCCTGCATTCCTGCACGTGGGGAGAGACAGACAATGTGTGGCATCTACTGAACCAGCTGGGATGAATCCACTTGTCTCGAATTCTTTAGTGTGAAACTCACTGTCCTGCGTGCCTGAATGGCCTGCTAAAGCATCTAAGTAACAGCACAGAGACCCCTCCCTCTAAGGTCCCTAAAAACGTGCACACTGCCTCGTATTAGGCCATGTCAAATCTTCAGGAAACCGTCAGCGGTGGGGTCGTTGATGTCACTGGCACTGCCCCCCGTCCGCGTCGTCAAGGCAACCGTTGAGGCAGTGGTCGCTCCCAAAGGCGCCCTGGGCCTGCAGCAGCTCGTACTCCTGGTCCAGAAAGTCCAGGCTGTTGTTGCTTGGTAACCCGCGTATGGTGAACTTGTGCGACACTTTGGTCCACTGTTCCTTGTTTGCAGAAACTCGCTCGAACAGCTCAGTGGCACCAGGGAACAGCTCCGACAACAACCTGTGAACACGAATCAAGTAAAAATTATATCTCTTATATATACTGTCATAGTCACCACTGTTTGTACTGCAAGATATAATAATGCCTAACTAACAAACATAAGCAAATGATATACTGTTCAAATAATCTGGAATAGGAATTCTTTTAGACAGGTAGATAGACAGACAGGCAAATAAACCATATAATACCAATAAAAACGAACGAATGAACCATCAGATAAAAATGATCTGTAACAGTATATAAGTGCAGCAAATAATGTAGATTGTTATGGCACTAAAAACACATGTTGCCTTCTCTGACATTGTGGCCTGGTCACATCCGGCCCACACCACCTGTTTGTCCTGCTGCCCTGAGGGAGAACAGGTCCATCCAGAACCAAGCCAGAGCCAGACTGGACAACAGCCTGTCCCCACAGGCACTGACTCTGCAACCTCTCCCTCCAATCTGCTACCCAAATACACCCAATTCTATTTTCATCATCAAACATACTTTATACCTGACATGCATACAGACCATGTGGTAAGTTGCACCTGATATCTTGGAATACTGATTTCAGTTGCTGCATAGGGCTTTTTAGAAATATATGACTCTTATATGACTAATTTTGCAGTAACTGTATTTGGTACAAGCAAGGTTGTAGAGGTGGGCAGTAGGGGTGTAACAATATCCAAGTCTCATGATACGATATCGTCACGGTATAAAACTCATGGTACAATATTTATTGCAATATCGTGGGAAAGCTCTTGAAATGGTGGGGAGACTCACGATAAGGGATGTAACAATATTCAAATCTCTCTGTACAATATTTTCATGATATACATCTTACGGTATGATATTTATTGCGATATTTTGTGGAGACTAACAAAACTGTTAATATGCTACTTTTTCCTCTTAAAATGCCTTGACAAGACTTAATCCAAAGAACTAAGACTTAAAAGTGCTTCAAAGTGTTATTTCTTCATGTAGTCTACACTGAAATGGAGCAAAGGATCATGGTCTATGTAGTTCTCTCTCTCTCTTTTTTTTTTTTTTTGCTATTGCTGCACCATAACTCTTAATGTAAGCAAAGAGACTTGTAATTTGATATATTGTGATGGTCCACGATATTATTGTGAGAATTTTGATGATACAATATCATAATATTTTGGTTATTTTTACATCCTTATTGGGCAGAATATATAATTTTTTATTAGAAAAAAATGACAATTAAAAATACAAATGCACAAATATAAAGTTATAAAGGTGCATTTCTGCTCTTTAGTGGGTAATTTTACAGTCATTTGTTTACTATGTAAACCTCTACTCATACATTAATAAACATGTTATAACAGATTTCATTTGGCTGGACATACTATTGTCTGAATAAAGTTTTAAATATTTGAATCTGGTTGAGCTTTGCCCTTCTTCACAGCTTCCTTGTGTTTTACTGTACGTACTTATAGATGGGCATGGCGATATGTTCCATAAAGCTGATCTGGAGCTCGGGGATGTAGGCCTTCTCTCGGTCCATCATCTCACTGGGTCTGTTCCCCATGGCTTTTTCCTGCGCACACACCATCAGCAACAACATGACAGACGCGTTAGAGATGTGTCAAACAGCACACACTCCAGACACTTGTAAAATCATTTCATCATAAATCAGTAGGCTGTCTCATCAAAACATACCAGATCTCCTTGAGAAAAGAATTCCTTGTAGATCAGCTCCTGTTGGGGCACATAATGTACGTCACCACTTGTACATTTGTGGAGAACAGACATATACATATACATATACATATACATATACATATACAGTACAGAATTTTGAGGATACAGATTT